GATGACGAGGAACAGAAACCTATTACGACTGGGGATAAGGCCGGTGCCAGTATTTTGACCTTGATATTTGTCTTTGGTTGGGCTGGTACCATGGCTTGGATGATGCTGGGTGCTTAATCTGGCAGCACATTTTATGTTTCTTTTATTGGGATTGGTTTTAGAAGGATCGGAGTTCTGAGTTCTGATGAGGACTCTATAATGTTTTGTACATACTATCTCAAAATCACGTTTACTCCCTTTCGGTGAGATAGGATACTCGATATTTTTTTCACGAAAGTCCGGCCATGTGGTGTAGCCATTTGGTTATGCTAGGAACGAGTTTATAAAGTCAATGCCTTCTCTCAAAGATGGTCTGCTTCACGCGTCAAGCGCGCCACGCGAAGGCGGTGTGGGGCTCGATGTATTCGCCATTTAATCTCCATCTCACCCCTTCACCCCACAGCTCTCACGTCCAGATATGGTCGCTATCACAGGCACAGCCAGGCAGTCTGATGCTGTACACGAGGAAAGTGACTATATAGATGAGACTACAACCCTCCTAAGGTCCAGCAAGATCAAGTATGATGGCGTGCCCGCACCAGACACTTTAGATAGTCCATCAGGGTCAGATGGCGACAATGACGGCAAGAAAAAGCCCTTGCCAAAGTTCCAGATCCTGCTACTCTGCTACGCGCGCGCAGTCGAGCCCTTGGCCTTCTTCTCCATCTTCCCTTATGTCAGCCAGATGGTACAGGACAACGGGGACGTGCCAGACTCGGACATTGGCTTCTACAGCGGATTAATCGAGTCAATGTTCTCCCTCACACAGGCCGTTGTCATGATATACTGGGGCCGAGCAGCCGATCGCTTCGGCCGTAAGCCCGTCCTGGTCGCCTCGTTATTCGGCATTACCGTGACGACAGGCCTCTTTGGCCTGGCGAAGTCCATACCGCAAATGATCTTGTTTAGATGTCTTGCTGGCGTCTTTGCTGGGACGATCGTCACCATCCGCACGATGGTGGCCGAGCACAGCACACCTAGTACCCAGGCCCGGGCGTTTAGCTGGTTCGCCTTCAGCGGGAACTTGGGCCTTTTCCTGGGCCCTTTATTGGGCGGTGCACTTTCTGACCCAATACAAAAGTACCCTGGTGTTTTTGGAGCTGTCGGCTTCTTTGAGAAATATCCCTACGCGCTCTCGAGCTTTGTGGTGGCGTTGATCGGAGGCACCGCTGCCGTGTCTAGCGCCTACTTTGTCGAAGAGACGTTGAAGAAGGAGCCGGTTGTGGTGGACCACGGTAGCGAGGAGGCCGGATCCGATGCGCCGCCCCAGAGCGGCGAGCTGTCCACATGGCAGCTTCTCAAATCACCAGGGGTTGGTGTGGTCCTATACGCGTATGGGTATCTCATGGTTCTCGCCTTCGCTTACACCGCCATCATTCCCGTCTTTTGGTTCACTCCCGTGCGTCTCGGAGGGTATGAGTTTACGACACTACAAATTTCACTTATGATGGGTCTAAACGGCGCCGCACAAGCTGCATGGCTCCTCCTGGTGTTCCCGCCACTGCAGAAGAGGATAGGATCGAACGGAGTGATACGTCTCTGCGCTAGTGTGTATCCGCTCTTCTTCTTATCCTGCCCTGTTGGCAATGTCCTTCTGCGGATGGGCACGGAAGGATCAGTCCAGGCCTTTTGGATTATCTTGCCAATCACGCTGGTGATTGGCTGCGGAGTTAGCATGAGTTTCACGGCGATCCAGCTCGTTCTGAACGATGTCTCGCCCTCGCCGAGGGTACTGGGCACGCTGAATGCAGTGGCCATGACTGGTATGAGTGTGCTGCGAGCCTTCTCCCCGGCGCTCTTTACCAGCCTTTTCGCTTTGGGGGCGAGGTCACAGTTGGCTGGGGGTCATGCCATATGGATACTCATGATCATACTTGCTTCAGGCTTATCGTTTACAGCAAGGTTTCTGCCAGAAACCTAAGGCTGTTGTCAAACGCCAGAGCAGCGAAGACGGGTGATGATTTTCGATTGGCTGGAACAGCACGATCAAGACTGGCCCAGAGACTTGTTGGAGGAGGGCCGTTTCACAAGCATGGGATCTCTAAAATTAGCAATTATATCCGAAGTTTGCTTCTTGTGGTAAGTTCCACTGCTGTACATTCCATGGGCCTATGTCAATAAGAAAAAGTGGATAAGGTCAAATCTTAGTGAAGATAGATTATTTATTACTGAGTACATTTTCGGTTTCGGATATCATTTCTGCATCATATCACTCATTCATCGACATGCTTAGCTGTTTAAGGCTTTTCTGTTACACTAGTCATTTCTCGGTTTGTAGGTCCGTACCCGTGGACAAGACGGGCAAGGAGTAAGCATCTTTGTCCACGGCTTTATGCCCGTTCTTCACATCCGGGTTTGCTTCTTCATTCTCGGGTTTCACCTGTATGGCACTCCCGTTTATGGGCGCAACTATCATCTTCCAGTGCTGCAGCCAGTATCTTCCAGATACTTTTCTTGCCTATGCTGCTAGTGCCAATGGGACTGTTTATATTGTGAGAGGATTCAAGGGCTTTGGGTTCCATTGTTTAGCCCTGTTATGTATGAGAAACTTGGATATGGATGGGAGAATAGCTAGCTTGTTGGCTTGTTTGGCTTTGGTGATTGGATGTCCTATTCCTTTTATCTTGGGGACTGAGAGCTGTGAGCAAGTTTGCAGACCGAACTAAATAAGTAGCTATCCCTGCCTATAATAGAAGGCTTGCCTGTACTTTTACGCTTTTTACCGGCTTTACATCTTTCTACAAAATATCAAACCGAGAGGAGATAATGATGTCTAAACGGAAATCGTGGTATGCAGCAGCTTGAAGTGTAGGACTTCCTGTCACGAAGTACCTTCCTTCTAAGGTAGTATATGAATCACACTAAGATGCCTTATGTCGAGTTGGGAATGGCACAAAGACCTAGCGGTATAGTGCCCTATACCCAATAGAGCCCTATATCGCTAGGTTTTGTGCCGTTCTCAATTCGCCTCCTCTTTTTTTATCTTTGGTCTACCGTTCGTTTCGCGCCGCCTAAACCTTTTTTTTATTTATAGATCTCGCTAATATAACACCCCATTCGATCCAGGTTTGCAGTTTGGTCTGCTGTATCTCTAGCTGTTGTTCTTTGGTAAGGGAAACTGGTCCCAATCCTCGTCTTTCCCTGGATTCTATTGTCTCACATAAAGCCGGTCTTTCATCCTCCTTATGTTCAAAAGCAAAAGAGCGAACCTCAGCATTGGCCCAGTCCGTTACTTTACAGTATAGATTAGCATGAGACGGTGAGAACGTGAGCTAATAACGCACCATGTGAATTGTCAGCATTCACCCAGTCATCCGTAAGAAAATCCAGAAAACAGCCATGGGAAACCACCACGATCTCCTTTTCAGGTCTCTGACTCAGCCATTCCCGTGCCAGATGAGCCCGCTCTAAAAGCCTTCCCGCAGCCGGAGCCCACTTGCCGTGCTACACATATGCAGTTTGCTTAGTCTTGCATGAACCAAACGGATTAGAACACATACCTTGATGTGCCAGCCAGGCTCCACTAGAGTAAAATCGACCGGCAGTTTCTCAAACTCGGCCTTGATATCAAGCAGGTCACTACCGGTGTCACAGTTGAGATCACTGGCTTCCTGCACCTCTGGCCAGGCAATAACCTGTAGGGCGCCGGCCCCCACCTGCGAGGGGAACGCCAATAGCGCCGTCTGAATCGTGCGTCGCAGTGGCGATGACAGAATCAGTTGAATATTTTCTAAGGCAGGGAACCCAATACCCAGGGTGCGGGCTTGCTCTTCTCCCAGCGGGGTCAGTTCGGGGTCGAGTAAATGGTGGTTTGCATGACTGAGATTGTGGACGCCTTGTGCGTGGCGTACAAAGTGAACTATTGGAGACATATCTTTTCACCCACTTGGCATAAAAAGGTGACTGGACTTTAGTTAAGCATTGCTTGAGAGAAGACTCAGGCAATGACTGGGTCTCGTCTCGTGCCAAGCACGGTAGTTCCCTGCGCCCCAAAGCGGGGTCTCGTTGATGGTGACTTAGACCGACATTGGGCAATCGCCCTAGTCTTTCAATTCGCGATTGTACTTATGGACCTGTTACTGTCTAGGTCAGTGAAGAAGGCCCCGCACGAAATCAAACAGCTCTGCGCCCTGTCAATGGAGATTCACCTGTCAGTTACATTGGACATTTCCCACTCACTTGACTCCCATTGACACACGTGACGCCAAGAACAGCGACAGTGAATGGAAAGCTTCGTGCAGGTACTCCTTCTTGGTGCTTGGCTGTTATCCGTGCGAGGCTGGCCAGGAGGGTCAGCCCTACCAGGGTGTGTCGTATATAAAGGCTTCTAGCATACTTGATAATTATTGCCAAAGTTAGGAACATTGGAAGTAATTGTCACTTTCATTTACTTACAATAATAAGTCTTTCTATATTTCCCATGCCTAGTTTGTGAGTTAATTAAATTGAGGCTCTATGACTAGAAGGTACTTATGTACCTTTTGTATTGAGTTCCCATACAAAAGATACCTGTGGTGTTGGTTGGCTTGGCAGTATTATTTTGCGTCTCATCTCAGTTTGAATATCACGATCACTTTGATTTGCGCTTGGACCTCGGTAGGGCAGTTTAGTAAACTTTCCGAAGTTTCAAAACACCGGTTAAAGTGATCCAGAAGGGATTCAATATTGTCATTCAATGATGTCGCCTCGTTGATGAACCTGAAAAGGGACCGGTTGACATTTGGTGTCTCGTTCCATCACCTGAGAACCCATCAAACCACCCTTTCATGCTAATTTATGTCGCCCCCAAATCCACCCACGCTGTTGCGCCATGTCTCAAGGAAACCTCGATATTTTCTTGGCATCGAGGACCTTGAGAGGGCAGGGCTGGGCAAGGCTTGGCAGTCACCCCCATAAGGGTCTACGGAGGCGATAGATTTTCTATCGAATTGCTTTTTTTGAAATTCTACAATTCCGACAAAATGCTACGTGAGGCATTCTTCATCTTCGTATGCGTGGCATGGGCGGGATTTGCTATTCATCTCTCCCCGTGGATTAAGGTCAGATCAATATCCTGAAACTGACACTACACTAAGGACTAATGTCTTGCAGGATATCTCCTATAAAGTTGAACCTTACAATACTACTACATCTCAATACCAAGTGCCACCTACACAAAATGAAGAGCACACACGTCTACTGCAGAAACTTGAGCGATCCAGTGGGAAATGGGACACTGTCCACCCTCGACATCGATTGTTAACTGCCCTGCATGGATATACCCGCTACAAAGACAAAAACCTAGCTGAGGTAGATCGATGGAGGAATCTTTACAAAAATGTCCCCAAGCGGCAGCGAACGGTATGATATGTCTTTCGTTCTTTTCTTTTCTGTTTGCTTTTCTGTTTGCAGATACCCAAGTGTTAAGCAGGTCTGACTGACAGGTGTAGATGCTCGAATCAACCGTCCACTACACGCGTAAACTAAACACAATGGAGCATCTGCTGGACACAAACAACGAACTCGCCAGATCTATTGTTGATCACGGTCTTTGGTTCTACAATATCACCCAACCTGAACTGGACGAATTCATCAAAGAAAATGAGAGTCAGCAGCGGTCCGCTGATAAGACTAGCGTCTCTCAGGGAATGAAGCACTTTGTGCGTGACTGGGCAGACGATGGCCATGAAGAACGAGAACAATCCTTTGGATGTATTTTGAAATCGATCTCCCAGACGCCACGGACAAAAGACAGACCCTTGCGAGTGCTGTTACCCGGGTCTGGACTGGGAAGATTGGCGCATGAGGTCGACAAGCTTGGAGGTAAGTGCAAAATCTCCTACCTGGAAACTTTTATTTGCTGATTAGAGATTAGGCTTTGAGGTCACCATGAATGAATGGTCAATGTACATGAATCTGGCATACCGTTATGTGTCCAGTCTCTCCGTTCCCAACAGTGTATCGTTTCACCCTTACATCGACTGGTGGTCTCACCAGCCGACGACCGATGATCTCCAGCGCTCGGTTACGTTTCCAAATGAAGCTATTCACCCGTCATCTGTCTTGCTCATAGAAGGGGATTTCACTACGGTATTTGCAGAACACACAGGCCAATACGATATACTCGTGACCCTATTTTTCATCGATACCGCGCGGAACCTAGTCACATATCTTGAGACCATCCACAGACTACTTCGTCCTGGTGGCCGTTGGGTGAACCTAGGACCTTTATTGTATGGCACAGCACCATTTGTCCAGTTATCACTGGACGAGATCGTGACATTAAGTGAGAGCATGGGGTTCGATTTCCAGGAGACAGATCCCACAAGTGGAAATATCACATTGCCAGGTTTGCCAGTGCGAGGATTGGAGGTGGCATATGGGCGGAATGAGCGTGGGTTGAATAAGAATGCATATCAGGCGCAATATTGGGAGGCTGTTAAGCGTTAGAACAGGAACGGACTCCATTGCATGTTTTACGGTCTTCTATTAAGATTAAATAAAAGTATCTATGTATTACCAAAAGATTATCTGAATTCAATTTTGTGGTTCAAGACCAGGGATATGAGACTGGATAGGTGCGTCTTTGCTGGGACAACACGATATCTCGTATAATACCCACCTAATTTAACCGCCAAATAGCAATTCCTGTCCTATGGTCAACATAGTGCCGCTCATTTTACCCTAGCTCGCATTGACTAGCTAGCGCAGTCAGCCTCTCGGGCATAGGTTTCCGCTGATGCCGGGATCGTAGCTTAACATCATCAACTATTAAAGAATAGCTACACTAAGCGAATGTACTAAACAAACCGAAAGGAACTAGTTATTATCCTGGGGCTAAAAATTTACACAAAGAGGATATTATATAGCTCCTCAAACAATTGGCAAGTTGGGATCAGCAGGGACTGTCCGGTCTGACCTACACATGGTCCAATTCAAGATAGCCAAGATATGTCGGGGAAAAGCACATCGCGCATTAATATAAATTCCAACCCACAGACACAGCCGTCTAGCCAAAGGCCAATAATCTGTCCAATACAATGAGACAGCCCCCGCCGACGCCAAGGCTCATTGAGAACCTTTGGGGCACCAAGACTTTCTTCTTGTCTTGGCGTCACAAACCCTACACGCCCAGCGGAACGGCAGGTATAAAGGGCCCGGACCCTGTGCAGCAAATCCCTGATTTGAAAATATCTGTCATTGTGATTATACTGCACACAGCGTTCAAATCACCTCGCCAAAATGAGATTCTCCATCTTTTTCATTGCTCTGATGACTTCGGTCTCATCCGCAGCCTCCACTGAGGATCCAGGCCCATCACCTACTGCTTCGACCGGCTGTGAGCCACACGGAGACCACTGGTTCGTTCTATCCCGTCGTATTCTCTCGGATATGTCTACTAACACTTTTCTACAGGCACTGTGACGGCCCAGCCTCAACAGCCGTCTCAGGTACATCAACAGCAAGCGAGGCTGAAGTGAGCACCACCTCTGCGGATGCTTCTCCTGCAGTCCCTAGTCCTACCGAGTCTGCTGGCTGCGAGCCACACGGCGACCACTGGCACTGTGACGGCCCAGCCTCAACAGCTGTCTCGGGTACATCAACAGCAAGCGACGCTGAAGCGAGCACCACCTCTGCCGATGCTTCTCCTGCAGTCCCTAGTCCTACCGAATCTACTGGTTGTGAGCCACACGGTGACCACTGGCATTGCGATGGACCTGCTGAGACGGCTAGTGCTTCCGCAAGTGCCTCCGCGGGTGCCTCTACGGGTTCTGAAGATGAGGAAGGCGGTGCTGGAGCAATTGGAGTGCAAATTTCCCTGCTTGTTGGATTGTCACTTGTTGCTGCTGGTTTGAATGTTTGAATCCTGATCTAGGAGATATGAGACTGTCTGTATTCATGTGTATGTATGTATGAATGTGCGTGCGTGTACGTGCGTGTACGTGCGTGGTGCGTGTGATGCTATAATATTTCAAACCACGGTTTCGTGACAGGAGATTCTGCACTTTAAGTTGCCCGTAAGAGCTAGATAGAATTGCTGGGTGAACTCAAAATGTGTCTAAACATAAGATCAGAATGACGGTAGTAGAGGAGAATGTCATGCCACTGGACAATGTGAGCGTAATGCTCAGATATAATGGTCTTTTGGCCTAGATTGTAACTCGCCAGTCCAGGGGCAGGTTGTGCAGAGAAGAGAAGAAGAAAAGAGGAGGAAGTACATGCGAGCAAGAGAGAGAGAGGTTTTACCGCTCATAAGGCCAGACGTAGACAAGTATAATAAAAAATAAATAATTAGCGAGCGGGAAACGAACGGTAGACCCCTAAAGACAAAAAAGAGGAGGCGAATTGAGAACGGCACAAAACCTAACGGTATAGGGCTCTATTGGGTATAGGGCACTATACCGCTAGGTCTTTGTGCCATTCCCAACTCAATATAAGGCATCTTAACGTGATTCATATACTACCTTCTAAGGTTAGAATGTGTTTTGTGATAGGAAGTCCTATACTTTAAGCTGCCCGTAAGAGCTAGACAGAATTGTACCAAGGAGGATAGTACTAGTATATACTAGAGTCATGATAGAGAGTGCATAACCGCCTATAATGCTTTGTTGTTGTTGTTGTTGTTCTAATTAACGTCCATAGGAGTACGGGCGTAGCCCAGACTCTATCTACCTCCCTAGGGGCGATGTTTCGCCTATATGTCGTAAGGGTAGCGTGAATCCACGTACGTGTTCCGCGCCTGTTTAGGCCGCTTGAAAGGAGAGGATGGTTAAAAGAGTGAGGTGAGGTGAGAAAAGAAAAGACGAGACAAAAGAAAGTGAGAGAGATAGCGTTTGGGGGGGGTGGGGGGTGGCTCTAGGCGTTTAGTATGATTCATATACCATCTTATTGGCGTGAGCCGTAAAAAGAAAAAGATTTGGCGGCGCGAAACGAACGGTAGACCAAAAGGCAAAAAGAAGAGGAGGGCGAATTGAGAACGGCACAAGGTCTAGGGATATAGGGCTCTATTGGGTACAGAGCACTATACCGCTAGGCCTTGCGCCGTTCTCAATTCGACATAAGGAATCTTAGTGTGATTGATATACCATCTTAGAAGAACATTGAAAGGGGACTATTGCCCAGTATAGGATCTGTGTACATATTGCCGCCCCATTCGGTAATTCTTTAATCTCATACAGGCATATGGCTAAACCAGCTGAAAGGGTTGAATGTTTGCACCTGATTGATACTAACACGATAATGGAAAGTACCGGAGGGTACTCATTATCCTACTGGAGGTTTGAATTTCTAACCCTTTTAGGATAATATTGGCTCAATATGCTTCCAGGTTAATGCACCTATGATAAGTGATGATACGGCCTTAACGCTACAAGCAAGTACGCCCATGCAACATCAGTATACTATAGATCGTAGGATGGGTCTTACGAAACGAAGTAACAGAAATGGGAGTAAAGGAACGACACAACTGAGGACACAACTGAGGACACGGAAATTGGCCCGTCATATCAAAGAAGCTGGTTGTGGTTTAGCGGTGTGAACAAAAAGCAAGTGAATGATCTCGACAGAGGAAGCTCGAGGATTTCTTTTTTTGCTACGGAGAATATTGAATACAGAACGAGTGTGGGAAGATCCAGGATGGGTATGTATAGCCAATTCGAGGGAGATGTAAACAAGACGGAAAAAGGAGAGGTGGAACTGGATTCCTTGTCCAACATGAGAAGGATAAGGAGAACAAGAACAAGACAAAGGACAAGAAGAACAGAATGGACTAAACCTCCGTAATGTTCCAACCCTAAATCCTATCCTAATCCAGTGATCCAGAAAATCGGAAATTGAAAGTTGGTTTGGTTGGCTTGTAAAAAAGAAAAAACGAGAGCTTCGTGAGTAGTGGGTTACATTGAACAAAGAACACCAAGAATCCAGAACAGGAGAGGGAATAAATCCTGCATTGCACGCTGCTGCAAGAGAGGGAGAGGGAGAGAAAAATCCAGATACAGTAGAGGCAGAGTAGAGGTAATAGCAATAGACTCTATTCCTGTCCAAAGCCAAGCGTTTCCTCCACCGCGATAGACATTTTGTGCTCAAGGGCATCGTGCGTCTTGTAAGGAGGGAGATCAAGACGGTTGAAGCTGAGTTGCGAAAAAGGTTAGCTATTATACACCAGATAGAAGAACCAGCATTGGATACGTACCAAGTGTGCGACTTAGGGAGCGCGGCAGGATCACCGGACTTCTCAATGGTAAACCGTCTGGGGCCATCCGATCCCTGCAGATCCTTGAATCCGTTGACAGGGATACGCGAGGTACCAGTAGTGAACTGGAGAAGACGGGACTTCTGCTCGGCATCCCAGGTGCGGACGATCTTCCAGAAGTTCTGAATAACCTCGTCCTGCTCCTGGTAGCCGCGGTAATCGGTGTGCTTCTTCCAGTCTTCAATATCGATATCGGCGATACCACCAATAAGCAACTCGAGTTCACGCTCGTCGAAGACGTTGACGAGATCGGGGGAATAAGCTCGTTGAAGCCAGACATGAAAGCATCGAACTGCTCCTCGACACGCTTCATGATCTTCCATTCCGTAACCAACCTGTAATTTGGTTAGCGGGGTTTCATCAGGCTGGAGGTTGGGCTGGTTTCACTCACTCAATGTACTGTGGCTTGTTCTCGTTGGTGACGGGAATATCCCGGCCACCGGGTATCAAATCAATAGTGCGACGCTCGCCAAACTTCTCATCGTCAACCGAAAATGTGAGTTCAACAATTCCGTCAATGTCATTATCCCTGCCATGGTGTTAGTGTGGTTATCCAAACTAGATCACGTGTATCAAACTTACAGTGTCCAAGCCAAATTGCGGTGCAGATCCTCATCCACACCTTCCATATCCTGAAGACTGACCTTCTTCCGCAACATCATCTTGTAGAAAGCTCCAATGAAGAAGGAATCCAGGAAACGACGGTGGAAGATAGCCAGACCGACCACTCGGCCGATGAACTTGAAGTAATTGAGATGCTCGGGGTTCACGCCCGAGTGGGGATTAATCTGCAAGGTATAATTATCGTGGGCAGAATATTCGAAGAGACAGTAGAAAGGATTGAACATTTCGTGAGAGAGGAGGAAGAAGAATTCACTGAGAGAGTTAGCAACTTTTCGCTGATACCGGGAGGGAAAACAAGAGAATAAGAACATACCGTGAAAGACCACCGTAGTCAAGACCATCTTCACCATCGAACTTGATCATTAGGCGCTTCTTAAGATCGGATGCACTCTGGCGCATAATCTCGGCATATGAATCCTCGAAGATGTTATTACGACGGACTTTGACGTGGCATTGTCCGGACATAATGCGCAACGCGGGTTGGGACCGGAAGTAGATCAGCTTGCGGCGGAAGTCACGCTTATACTGGGGCACACCCTGATCCAAAGAGGAGGGAAGTCGCGGATCATCCCAGGTAGTCGTCTTGGTATTGTGATCGACGAAATATACTCGAGCAGTGTTGGTAAGACGCATCTCCCAGCCGCTGGGCAGAGGGCCCAATTGGGATACGGGCTGCTGTTGAATGGTGGTGTTGTTCGCGCCACCTGTGGTCTGTCCCTGGCCATACATGCGGATATACTGCTGCCGACGAGGATCGACCCATGTCGTTGTGCGCGTGTTGTGGTCCACGAAGTAAGGCCGTCCCTCGGGCGTCACACGTCGTTCCCAGCCTGGTGGAAGCTCCCCTGTGCCTGCAGTGGTGGCTCCCGTCGCCATCATGGAGATCGCGGCGGCATTGGACCCAGCTGGGGCTCCAGTTGCGAGAGAGGTTCCTGCGTTAGGCCCGGGCGGTGGTGTAGGTATCTGGGCATCTGGTAGGTTGGGTGAGTTGGCGCCGGTTCGATCTTCGGGAAGCATTCGGCTCTGGTGAGCCCGACGCTCAAGCTGCATGTTGGCTTCGCGCTGCGAGCGCTGGGCATGCTCGTTGTAGTTGGCCGATGGTCGTGACCATGTCGTGGTACGCGTGTTGTGGTCCACATAATATGTCCGTCCCAAGTTGTCTTCGCGTCGTTCGTATCCGGCAGGAAGTCGACCCTGACTGTCCTCGAAGGAGCTGAGATTGGCGCGAGAAGGGGCGCCGGGTCCAGGGGGGTTGGTGGGGGCGCCATTCAACGCGGGAGGAGCACCGGCCGGGGGACCGGTGGTCGGAGTGCGCTGAACCAATGATGAACCTGATGCTGCGGCAGGGGACGTATCGAGAGTGCTCGGTCCAGTTTGTGATTGGGGTGTTGGTGCTGCAACCTGGGGCACAAGACCGCTGGAAGTCGAGGTCTGGGCCTGTTGACGTTGGAGTCCATTCTGGTTCGGATGCGGGGTGGTGAGGTTGGAGGATAGGTTGATGATCAATTTTCCGTGGACCACGAGGTTATCATTCGATTTTTTCAGATCCCGAGTAAGCATTTCTGTGGGGGGCACATGGCCGTCAAGTCAGTCCACGTTCTATTGAGTGATCGGCGGTCTTCAGACGTACCATCACCACCCATCGACAAGTCAATGACATCGCCGATGCGGACATTGATGACTCCGAGGAAACCCTGGTCCTTCTTCTTGAATTTCTTCTGGTCAAAGATCTGAATCGCAAGGATGCTGTCCTCGTTGACTCTCCTGTAAAAGGTCCATGATTAACGAGGTTCACCCTTTTCCCAGACAGTGGCGAGGTATCACGTACAGATCGAATGGCTCATTCCAGTAGGGATTCAGAGTCTTCTTGATCACCGAAGTTGTATGCGTTTGCTCTCCTCCAACAGTAGCCACGGCGAATGGATCGGGGAACCCTACAAAAAGAAATGGTCAGTTCAACCCCGCGGCATTCGATCAACCGATCCGAAGGAGACAACATACGGAAGACATCACGTTTGTACAAGCCGTCAGCCGCGATAACTATATGACCAGAGATGTTAGTCTTGTATGGATGCGGAACCCCGCAGAAGGCCCACGACGATTCAACAGAATGAGAGTCTTACTCGTGACCCGGAGATTGGGCTGGCTACAATTCATGTCAGCGGATGATCTGAAGATCAAATGTCGATCGGAATAGAGCCAGATAAGTCCAACTTACGCTGGGAGGTTTGACGCCATGATGCTTTACAAGCGATCAATCACGCCCAAAGAACAGCGCGGGCGCGCACATTCACGAGGGGGAGAAGGACCAAACCGAGTTCGCCCAGGGTCAAAGCCTGGAAAGAGTGGATAGGTTGGTGATTTGCAGGTTTGGTGATGGTAGGTTGTTGAGAGAGGAGAAGGAAGAGAAAGGGAAGGGTTAGGCGTTAGGTGCGCCCGGGGTTTGTATGGCGCAGGTACTCGGACTACGTATTTACTATGTACGGGATACCCGGTCAGTACTTCCCTGGGGCTGAGCACGGGAGATTTATAAACGTTGGATAATGATTTCACTCTTATTCTACTTCATTAGATATATTATATTTGTTATTTTGTATATAGCCCTAGAATATCATATATTAATATTTTTTTCTTCCTTTTTAAGCATACGTAATAGAGTAAATTCAGCGGGTGTGGGCGGGTAGAGTGGCAATTTCAAGTTTGATATTAATAGGAGGGTAAATATTATAACTATCACAGCTATCTCACTTAGTATGACCTTTTATTTAGGCAACCATATTCATATCTATATTCTACTAAGTTGTATTGCTCTTTTGTATATTAGGTGTACAAAGTACTAACTAGTTAGCTAGTTAACTAGTTATATAACATAGTAACGTACTCTGTATCATATAGAATACACAATCTTCTATATCAGCTAACTACTAGTATATTAAATACACCCCCAAAAAAAGCCATAGTTAGCTAGATCTTTATCTCTTATTTTTTTGTTTTGGCTAATTCTCTGCCCGAACATTATTGTACAGCATATTCCCACAACTCCAAACCCACTAGGGAAAATGAGAAGAGAATCAAAGGTCCTGAAATCGGACAGAAGCACCCTCAAACACAACAACACACTTAGTAGGGCGAGAAACCACGTCCCCGACCCCGGTAAGGAGCACCGCCACGATATCCACCACCACGAGGGAAGCCACGACCACGACCGCGGCCAAAGCCACCGCGAGCACCACCACGGCCACGGTTCATACCAGGCAGGTTGGTACGCTTGGGAACAACCTGTTATTTTTCGACGTCAGCAAGTGTAGAGGGAAATAGTACCAGAAATCATAAACCGACCTTCAAGTTGCGACCGCGGAAGACACTTTCGTTCAACACCAAAGCCTGAGCGACCAGGCTGGGTTCCGCAAATTCAACGTAGGCATAACTGCGGCGCATTGTCAGCACATATTCCATCTTGTATTTTTTTTTTCCTTCCGTCTGTTCAAATCTCACCCTTTGGGCTGGCCAGAGAACTTGTCCAGCAAGATGGTAACCCGGTTGATGGAACCACAGCTCTGGAAGTGAGCCTGTATCTCCTCCGGCGAAGCACCGTAGTCGACATTGCCGACGAAAATGCTACGCGCATCGATATCTTCCTTGTTCTCTTGGAGGCTCTCAGTCTGTTGGTCGAGGTCGGCTTGCATCTCGCGCAGCTTGGCCGCCTCGGATTCCATCTCGGCCACTCGTCGCTTCATGGCCTCAATCTCTTCCTGTATGCATCAATCATATTAGCGGGGTATGCCTCGTATATGAGGGAAAGTATGCGGCGTGGTTGTGAAAGAAATGGTTCAAAGAACTCGAACAAAGAGTGGAATCGCGTTCAATGCAGCGCAACAACCCCGATTACACGTACCTCGTCATCTACACCATCTTCCTGGGATGGGATCTGTTCCCCCTTGACCTCCTCTGGGATCTCCTGGCCTTCGGCAGCCATCTTGTCAAAAAAAAAAGAAATGTGTTTGTTGGGGTTGGGGGTATCCGAAGGGTCGGTGAAAGCGCCGGGGATACCGATGAGGGGAGCAAGTTAGAGCTCTCCGAGGGTCGGTCTAATCTTTGCGCGTCAAATTTAGTAGGTAAAAACGAAAATATCGGATTGATTCAAATTGGGAACTGCTCAGATGATTTGTACGAGTTAACAGAACCCTCTGTTCAAGACCTCTAGGCGGCAGAGAATTGAAGTTCTGGGATTTGGCAACGACAAGGCTTTCTGTTTCGGGAATAGCGTCTTTTCCGGCCGCGATGAATCGGTGATATACTGCCGGGCGGTGTATATACCGAGAATCGTATTTCCAGCCTCATCTGTCTGTGATGGGACTGGATGTCTCTCATGAGACACAACCTTGCAGCTTACGAAAGCTCGAAATGAGTGTCTTTTGTATGAGAACCTATACCATCACACAAACATGATACTTCTGTCTACCGTAGATATATCCTCAAATGCCAATAAATAAGTAAACTCCATGACCCGGGAGAGAGGAGTAAGCAAACCACCAAAATATCACAAAATTCTATCGGAAGACTCCTGTTTTGAGGAGAAACCAAGGAAATCAGAAGCAAGGGAATAGATAGCAACATTGTAGACAATGTTGAGGAAATGGCTCGATTCAAGGTATCATGTATCAAATTGAAGAAGCATGGGGTCTGCAACAAGGCGGAGGGAAAGAGAAGAACATATGATCAGGCGAACATCAAGGTAATTATTTACACGGAGGTAGAGAGGAGGGACAGTAGGCATAAGGACAGCGTTACGAAGCTGGGGGGGTGGTTCTTGCGGAAGGAGACCTTCTCAACAGCCACATTTTCCACTCCATTGGCATCGGTCTTCAGTTGATAGACATATAACACAAGGACATCGCCTTGGATCTATTCAGGGTTAGCATATATACTATCCTTCAAGCCTGCCAGGGCAACTCACGTCCATCAGGCAGAAACTCGGTGTAGGTTCCTCGCCATCTGGCCAGAAACCGGAGCTCATGGCACCCGTTGCGCTTCCCGGGTTGATAAAGAACCGACCCTCCATCTCAAATGCCTCGAAGCGGTGGGTACCACCCCACAGTAGGACATCGACATCCATCTGGCGGGCCGCGATAAGCAATGCGTCCGCGTCGGCGGGTGGCACGATGGTATGGCCGTGAGTGAAACCAATTCGTAGACTGCCATGGTTGACGATCTTAGAGAGTGGGAGGTTGGGAGAGTCGACATCATAGTCGCCCTTGACCATCTGTAGGTCCGGGGCTACCTCGCGGAGGAAATCATAGGTCTCGCGGTCAGTCAGGTTGCCTAGACAAAGGGTCTGGCCGATCTTGCCAGGGGTCAGGAGTTTGCGGAACTAGAATCGCCAGACATTGTCAGTAGGGTAAAATAAACCAAGGCGTAGAATAAAGACGGACCTTGGCTGGAAGATCCTAGACGATGTGTTAGCGGAGATAGTGAAGCTGAGCTGAGGACAGCTTACAGGAGCTCGGTCAGGGATGAATAGGTCACCAATGACCAAGACCAAACGGGCGGTCATCCTGGATGGTGCGTGTGGGGTAAATGGAGATCAATGGTCCATCCACGGTAATCGGAAATCGGAGCAAGCCAGATAGAAACAACGCCTGTTGGCTTCAGCCTGATGGAGCTTCGCGGGGAAGAGCAACTAAGGGATGCCCTAAGCCCTATTTTATACCTAAATGCGGCTAGCGTTATATATCCCGTGAAGTCATCTCGATCATTGTTTTTGTTTCGCATTGGCTTGTCAGGCCGAATGTCTCGTTCAGATGCGTTTCGGCTCGATGAGTCCAATGAATGTTTACCCCGTGTTGTTTCGAAGGTTTCCTAACTTCTTTGCGGAGGTCACCGTGTGAAGACTAGGAGGGGGCATATTACGTTGGGGTCTGAGGATCGAATGGAGTAACAATTGCCGGGCAGACATCGGCATTGAGCTTGATATACAAATGTATGGAAGTTGAGATTGCATTCAACATAGAGAGTAAGTCTACAGTATTCGGATACTCCTATCTCCAACATACGTACAGTAAGCAGTACAATATAGATACTGAAATCCTCCTCAATTGCTAATAGAATGATATGAAATGATATGAGATGTATAGAATACCCCAGGTATTGCTCCATATTGCTCCATATCCACAAATTCCTCTATATAGAATAACACGTACAGCGTAGGACGTAGACTGTTGGGAGCTGTCAATCGGTAGGATCCGCCCGGCTTTCCTTTCTCCGACGTCAAAACCCCAAAGGAAGAAAACAGACCCCCTTCGGAAAACAAGAGCGTGACTCAATTCATAAATAACCCTTCAAGTCTCACTTCTCACATGCTCGGTTCTTCATCCGAGTAAACAAATCAACGAATCCCAATCGGTATTTCGGCCAAAATCCACTCGGCGGTGATCCCCGAAGTCACTTACCCTCGGGAACTCCTCCAATCCCCTTTCACGCGAAAATACCCCGCGGCCGCGCCGCAATCGGAAAAGTGGCGTCCAAATCTACTAAGGAGCGTCTGAGCCTGATTTCCAGACACCTGGATCAGCGCCTCCCGTTACCCGACCTGAATACTCCGTTCTCGACCGAGAGAGATTCACTATTCCCTGACGACGTCGAATATAAACCCATTGATCGCTCCATCCCTCCTACCCCTCCCTCCGAACCAACTCCCATTATGTCTGCTCAAGCCCCTCACAACACCCTCCTGATCCCAGGACCCATCGAATTCGATGATGCTGTCCTTCAGTCTATGTCCCACTATGCGTGAGTTATCCAGGTCACAATACATTATGCTACAATGAACAATCAACTAACTAACCCCTCCAGTGAGAGCCACGTCGCTCCCGGCTTCGTCAAGGTCTTCGGCGAGACCTTGACTCTTGTCCGCAAGCTCTTCCAATCCACCAACCCCACCGCGCAGCCCTTCATCATCTCCGGAAGCGGCACACTGGGCTGGGATCTTGTCTCTGCCAACCTGATCGAGCGCGGCGAGAACGCCCTCGTTCTCAACACCGGCTACTTCGGCGACTCCTTCGGACAGTGTCTCGAGACATACGGTGCCAACGTGACGCACCTCAAGACGCCCATCGGTGATCGCACCCCGCTCGAGGAAGTGGAGGCAGCCCTAAAGGAGAAGTCATACAAGCTCATCACCCTCACACACGTCGACACATCGACCGGTGTGCTCTCCGACGTCAAGGGCGTGGCACAATTAGTGCGCCGCGTCAGCCCAGACACCCTCGTGGTCGTGGATGGCGTGTGCAGTGTCGGCTCCGAGGAGATCGCCTTCGACGAGTGGGACCTCGATGCCGTCCTCACAGCTTCACAGAAGGCCATCGGCTGCCCTCCTGGTCTCAGCATTGTCATGACATCCGGCCGCGCCATCCAGGCCGCCCAGTCCCGCAAGACTCCTCCCGGCGCTTACTATGCCTCCATCGCCAACTGGCTTCCCATCATGCAGAACTACGAGAACAACAAGCCCTCCTACTTTGCCACCCCTCCCACCCAGCTCGTCCATGCCCTGCACACCACCCTCACCCAGATCACCGCCGATGTCCCCGGCCGCTTCGCTATCCACACCGAGGTCTCGGATAAGGTTAAGGCTGCTGCTGCCGAGCTTGGTCTCAAGCAGCTCGCAGCTCGCCCTGAATGCCAGGCTCATGGTATGACTGCTATGTACTTGCCTGAGGGTCTGGTCCCGGCCGATGTCCTGCCTGGTCTGCTTAAGCGAGGTGTCATCTTTGCAGCTGGCCTGCACAAGGAGATTGCTACCAAGTACATCCGTTTCGGCCACATGGGTGTCAGTGTTACTGACCCCAAGCTTGGTCACGTTGACAATGCCCTGGCGGCGCTCAAGGAGGCTCTGGCCGAGGCTAAGCAGGCTAAGGGTCTGTAAGGGTTGTACTTAGGTATGCTTGATGTAAATAGGATCACTTGGACTTATGCAGCGTAAGCCTTGTGGATTATCTTTTTGGTAAAACTACTGCAATGAATTATTGATCATAGACAATGTGTGTTGTATACTAGTACTTGTAAAAGCTGCCTTGTTTAGTAGGATGGTAACATCACTTCGTGGGCTGATGTTATTATTTACATTGTAGAAAGCAATGATCTCGCTGTTCGCTTTCCTTTAAACTCCTACAAAGAATACACTGTCTATCTAGGTATATCTAGGTAACTCCCTCCTCCCCACACAAGAAATCTTGGGACAAGCTAATCTGCAGATACCCGCCGATCCTCCACATTCTGGAATCCTCCCTATTGGCGCGTCTACCCAGAGCCCCAGACCCAAGACTCCCAAGACTCCAGCCGAAGAATGCACCAGCCCTGGAAACTCGAAGGAACCTTGGAATGACATTGAACAGCCAGTGACAATAAAGAATGTAATGTTGTGCCAGGAAGTACCTAGGCATTCCGTACAATCTTCTATTTCCCCCTACCAGCTCCTAGCTGCTGCCAAGGACGGAGTATGCCAAGGCCACACCCCTAGATAGCCACGCATTGACCAACCTTGTCTTGTATAGACACAGATTATCTTCAATGTTTCGATTATAGTACTATGGTGTAAACAGATATAACCCAGAAGGGTTTCTACATCGACCTAGCCCATCTAGGGACCGTATTACCTATCACATGGGGTCACCTCGTGTAGGTATCGATAGAGTTTCACCTTGGACGAAGATTGTAGGAATGGAATGTTTTGTCTTTGATAGAAATGTAGCAGTAGAAATGGAGCAGTGGACTATATTTTGTTTATAGCTGTATGCTCGTCCATCCGTAGATGTCTATTCACATCAAGATGCATTACTTGAAACCCACCCTCCCATTTATCCTAGCAGTCGCTACTCTCGCCTCAGCAGAGACGACAACAGACACATTAGCAGACAACGCGGTGAATACAGCATGTACCTCAGAAACGTAAGTCGAGTCTAGTATATATAAACCAGCTCTGCACTTCCAAATAATATTGACACTAATACCAATCTAGCTGCTATACCAACTGTGCCGAATATGACTGCCCCAATGCTGAAGCACACGCACCGATATCAACAGCTGCATCTACTATAAGCTCTGGCAGAGCCGCCGCTACGGGCAGCACTGATATTGAAGATGGAATTGATATCTCCGACTCCGGGGTTAAGAATGATTTCACGGAGGAACATCCGGTATTGTCGTATAGTGGGTTGGAGGCTAATTCGATCCCCCGTCCGGAAGAAGGGACTGCTGCTGGTTTGAGGGTGGGGGCTTGGTTGGGTTTCCTGGGACTTGCGTTGGGACTTCTTTTTTAGTTCTTGTGTCTGATATTTACATACCATATAAAGATCTTCCTAGCAAAATAAACTTCTACTATGTCATCTCTGGAAATAATGCACTTGATTGTTTTGACATTCTCTTCAAGTAAGTAACGCAGAAACCTGGAAATAAAGAAAAGAAATAAGAACTCCGTGCCCCGAACTGTGTAGTCGTAAAAGACTAATAGATTGTCCATGTCCCGTGTCTCGTGCCCGTGATGCGCTATTCATCAAAGTACTCAATGGCTGGAACAACTTCAGTTCCATTTTTTGTATCTCCGACTGGAGTCCCTGCAACCCAGCACAGAATGCTGACCCAGTTGTCCAAGTTATTTTCCCACCCACCATCCTTAAAGTCCATGATCGGTGACGAGCGGACTTGGAGAGCCCTTGGGTTCTGCTTGTCATGCCACATCTGAAGGACGCGGATTTGGAACTCCGACGCAGAAATGACGGTGATAGGAATGTATCGGTGATCGTTATATCCATCTATGGTTCGGCGCTGGGCGACCAAGCCATAGGCAAGAGCTACCTCACCGGAATTGAGACGACCAACACGGTGAGACTGCGAGTCAGCTATGAAGGCGTTGATATGGGGCTGAGATTCATCCTTCGCGCTCGTGCAGCCTACGAGCCTCCATTGCCATTGGGCCGCATATGCGGAGCCGAGTTCGTTGCTACATAGCAAAGCCAGTTAGAGATAAAAGTGATGCAGATAGTATAAGGACTGGGTGACTTACTCCTCGCTAAGAATATTATTCGGCACATCGCCGCCAAAGAAATTTTCCAGAGAATGGCTCACACCTCTAATCATCCAGAACGCGTCAGACCATCGCCGGAATCTACGTAATTTCGGGATATCGGTGATATTATTCTGGAAGATGTCGAAATCATCCCAAGGTCGTTCACGGACGATATATTCTCTCATTTTATCATGGGGAAACGGCTCCACAAAGCGTGGGCCATAGTCTGGCGCATCACCGGAGGATAAATCTAGTTCGGCAGTGGTGATGTGTAATTTCCTCTGGTTCTTGCGAGAGAGAAGGAGCGCGCAGAGCCTCCTAGTAGCGTTGTAGCAGGTTTTGACCCAAATCTGACCTTCGTCGTACTTTGGTATTTTGTCCTCGTTCTCTGAAGAGGTGGGCTCCATACTGTGTAGACGGTCACGATAGCGAGGTAGGCGTTGAAGTTTGTAGGAGAGTTGTCTTGTCGGAAACAAAGTGAAAGGAGGGACAAGAGCTCTGGAGTTAGGATGGCTTTTATGGCTGATGTAGCAAGGCTAAAGCGTGTTATTATTGGTCTTGTTACGCGCCGTGTTATTGTTGTTGGTGTGATGGTTGGTGTGATGGTTGGTGTCGGTTGGTTGGTGTTGGTTGCCTAGGAGAAAAGGAAGTTGATTGGTTGAGCCGGTTCGGTTTTCACCTGGCAGAAAATCACCAAGCATATCCACATATATACCTAAGACACCTATTAAAAAGAAATCCTAACAAATTATATCTAACAGGATTCTCGATATAATACCTCGAATATAATCCTAGATCAAGGGCACTAGATTATCATGTAGAATGTAGAAGAACATAAGAACAATTGGAGAAGAGGCGGAGAGGGAGGCGGTGAATGGTGATATCACTCCATTACGCGCCGGCACCTACGCGCCGCAACCAACGCTGTTAATCTACGACGTTGATTGCTTGCTATTATTAGCTCCATCAACTTGGTCACACTCATTTTTGAGGAAATGTGACCGGCGTATTGCCTTGTATATCCCTCTATAGTTAGCTCCTCAACAGCAACTACGCGCCGCACCTACGCGGTTAATTCACAACGCCGATTGCTTGATATTATTAGCTCTATCCACTCAATCACATATGTCTGAGGGATTGTAGCTAACTAACTAGCGTATCGCTATATACATATCCCCCCGTAGCTAACCCCGTAGCAACAACTATACGCCGCACTAGCGCAGTTAACCTGCAACATCGATTGGCTGGTATTATTAGCTCTACCTACTCAATTACACATGTTTTAGGGATTGTAACCGCCCTGTAATACTGCTTTACGATAGTGGTATCTTGTTGTCCGATGTTGTGTTTCATTCGCAGCTCTTCAGCGTCTCCTGAAACTTCCAAAAGTTCCAAGTGTGCCTAGTCAATACGATGATTTAATACACTCCAACTCATTAGAGGTTGTCAGTACTTATATCTTATCAGAGAAGGCATTCTGCTCTATCTGACTTCTGGATTACAATTGTGCTCATATCCTCTTGACATACATATACCTACTTCTAGGGTTATCTATTCTTACTTGTCATATCTTTTACCGGAAATGCCATACGTCCCAAAGAATCAAGATTCTTGGTTAGGACAGGTGAAGACCGCAAATGTTGGCACCAAGACAATCCATTCGTTCGAGTCCCCAGCCTCCGGATCAAAAATCGGCTTGAAACAATTTCTTCTTCTCCGGGTTTTATGGGTGAAAAATCAAGCCACCAAACTATCACGCTCGTCCGAGCGTGAGAAATGGAATGTCACCGAGCAACATATCCATGTCGCTCGAGAACACCTAAAAGCAATGTCTAGTTGGGTGCAATACAAATCAACCATCTCTAAAAATCTGGCATGGCACCAGAATGAAGGTTTTTCATCTCTTGGCGCTTTCTCACTTGTTCGTCTATATCAGCTCAATTCAGACACCATCGATCCATCTCAGGATGTGTTTATCCCCAAGCTTGAATTTTCGCCAATGAAAACTAGAAGCCAGAATCAAGCCGGTCGTGCCCAGTCAAGGGATGTTAACCCTGTTACACCAACACGTTCAACAAAAAACGAGGGCACCCGAGGGTACCAGCACACGCAACGATACAAGCCTTGGCATAGGGGGCCTTTCCATTGATGATGATGACGAAAGCCTAGAAACTAGTGATGACGACGAAAGTCCAGAGACTGAGGACTACATTTCGCCCTTCTCTCCGCCCACTGGGGACCTGGGCCATGCTTTCAAAAGCATCAGTGACGAACAAATCGTTAACACGGCACTGCTTCTTTACCTTGAAGCACTGCTGATTAATTTTGTTGGCATCCAGGCAGATTGGACACCCGAACGCCACGCCTTAGTGGTGAAGAGATATAATGGGCAAAAGGTCTATGAGGCACGATTGGATGGCTTTCTTCGCTATCAGCGTGATCAAAATAACCCAATAATGGCCATCGTCGAGGTCAAGCCCTTCTCTCGTGACACAGACCCCGACGACTCCACCCGAAAGCAGGAGAGTGCCCAGATGGCTGCATGGATTTGCCAGCATCCCCCGACACCTGCTGAGCTTACTTCGGGTTCCAAATTTAGGTATGTTATTTCATTAGGAGAAAATAAAAGGTTGGAAAATTTGCTAAGAACAGATGCCCCCCACAGTCGCCTCCTCGTCTCCCAGGATCGTCACCACATTTATCTGACTTTCGCGGAGTTTGACGCTGGTTATGTGGACTATATTCGTGATACCCCCCCGAGTCCGAAGCTGCCCACTCGCCTAAGCAAGAGGCCGTCGACTCCACCAAGCCAGAGCTCATCGGCTAAACCCAGCTTTTTGAAAATGAACGAGTATGGGCCTTTCGAAACTAAAAATGAAAGCCATATGGACTCACTTGGGCAAATATTACTGGCTTTCTCCCTTCAAGCATGTGAGATCAGAGAGAAAGCGGACTCGAAAGCACAGACGCAGAAGTAGAGCGATGTATACAAAAATGTATTGTATTCATTGGAAAGAGAAAATGGAAGGGAAGCTAGCTGTCCAGCGGGACATAGGGATTTCTTTTCTTTTCTTTTGTTTTCTTTGTTCATCTTTTTGTTTTTGTTTTTTTGTGGTAGACTTAGTTGCTACACAGTTGATATATCTTCGTATTTAATTTTGTGTATGCTTCTTCTCCCCTTTCTTTAGGCGATTGCATGTTCCAAGAGCAGCGCAAAAACCATGTATACCACCTAGCCTCGTACCCTGGCGGGTAGACCGCAAAAGCGTACTCATCTTGCCGCATAGGAAGACAGTTAGCTGATTTCAAGCAACAGACGCCTTTACGCAATCAAAACAAAACAAAACAAGAAGATGTGTTGTTCTATGTTCTGTGACTCTGGTGGATTGGGAGTTACGTCCAGAATCCATTCTGATTCGCCATATAAATCCGACCCAGCTTTTCCTATAACATTCAACTAAAGACGAAAATAAAAACACTGACCTCTGAAAACACATGTCGCTAGAGCCAAACAAGAAAAGGAAGTATAGTGGTTCGAAATATGCCAATATATTCTGGTTCTAGTTATCTATTAAGCATCCTCCTTATGCCACTTACCACTATTAATCACATGCAATTGCATTATCAACCAAAAGAATTTGCGAATTGACCCGAGCATGGGCTCGCGTCCTTCGCCGGTTGTTGTCAGAGACTTTTACCTCTCCCTCTTCTTGGCTGACTCAAGTGAGCCCTGGTGCCTGCTAGGAGTGGGACAACCTTGTTGACAGGGGGAAGCACATTCTCGGAAGAATTAATACTGGAGTCTGTGCGTGCAGTCTCTAGCAAAGGTTATTAATAGTCAGATATTGAATAACCTTCTCTTTATTCCGGTCTCCACACGACGCACAGCATTCATACGTGCAGGCTAAAGCCCGAGTCATTTGCGTGGCCAATATATATACCCACCCGGCGAGCCCGATGGCCTGGAACTGTTGAAAAACCATCAAGCTATCAATAAGGCGAACTTAGCGCTGAAACCACATATTAACAATGGCGCACGTGCATGCGAATTTGCAGCCCACTCAAGCGGACGCGGGACAAATGAAATCGTCTTGTTCCCTATACAGAAAGCGACAGTTGGTCGAGATCCGACCGAAAGGTAGTTGACCCTCTGAGTGCGCGTGGAATATCAATACTATACTCAGGGGAGATAGATGGGCTAACAGAAGTTCACTGGAGCAGGCGGCTCGCTCCTCATCATGACAAATCCAAATTCAACGGAGACTCGGAGGAGGCAGCACGCTGACGCCCAGAAGTGTCAACGAGATAGGATGAAAGCAGCGCTTGGCCAAATAGAGCGGATAATGAGGATGGGAGGCACGGGTAATAAGGAAATGAGTGGTACCAAGGTATGGAGGCAACTGATACAGCCAATCCCCTAGCCTGGCAGATAAATGTGCTCACTCGAAACTTGCTTGGCCAGGCAGAACTGCTCGAGACAGCGGTGGACTATATCCAGCACCTCCAGAAACAAGTCGAGGAACTAAGAGAGCTGGGTCACGGTGGCCACGCGACACCAGACGTGGATGTCCAGAGGTGCGCCGGATGTCAGAATCAGAATCGGGGCTCAATGTCAATAATTTAATTAAACCAGCCAATAAGAAAGTTGAATGTAAGCACGATGTGGTGAACACCAGTTGCGAGGCTTGTGTAAGGTGCCTACATGGCGCACCAGCTAGAGCTCATATATCCTGCCAAGGGACAGGGCAGATTATGGCTATAGTAGCTGGAGTCCAATCGAGGCTTTCACGTTCCTGCCCCAAGAGGATGATACAGGTGTGTCAGTTGGGAGGAGGACATTCGCGAATAGGACCTCGTGTTTCTACAACATCTCGCGAAATTAGCCCAACATTTAGCGTGGGTATGGTCAGGTAGTCTGAAGCTTTCTACATGGGGCTTACACGTTGTGGTATGCGATCGTCGGATTCGTCGGCGGAGGCCCATCTTGGCGAGTGCACAGACGGCGGAGAGTTTCTTGGCGGCACGGTGGGCCTGGGCAGCTTGGCATGCTGGATGGTTGCACCACTGCATCTATAGCGAAATGGCTGTCATGTCCTGGCCCGTATTGGGGCTGGCACATATAAAGGCATAATCCTACTAATTTCCTCTTTATCCCGGCAGCCCTCCAGAATCCTTCTAGAACCTTTCCAGAAAGGACAAGCCAGCGCGCGTTGTTGCTTTCTGCCCACAGTCAACATGGTTCTTCAGCAGTATGATTATATCTTTGCTATTGGCACGATATTTGCATTCCTCGATGCCTGGAACATCGGCGCCAATGATTGCGCCAACTCCTGGTCGACGTCTGTTTCGTCGCGTTCGCTAAAGCACTGGCAGGCCATGATCCTCGGATCTATCCTGGAGTTTGCTGGAGCGTAAGTTTATAACCTGCTTTCCGTTTCCTGGCCTCGTACTCACCCGTGTTTGTAGTGTTGGTGTAGGAAGCAGTGTTGCCGATACTATCCGTACCAAGATCGTCACGATCGATGCGTTCGCCGACAACGCCCCCTCCCTCATGCTTGGAATGTGTTGCGCTGTGGTTGCCTCCTCTATATATCTTACCATCTGTACCAAGATTGGTCTTCCTGTTTCAACAACCCACTCCATTCTCGGTGGTGTTCTTGGAATGGGTATTGCACTTATCGGTTCTGATGATATTATCTGGTGGGGAGGTGATATTAACTCTGGTGTTGTGCAGGTGTTCCTTGCCTGGGTTATTGCACCTCTCTTATCTGGTGTTGCTGGTGCGATTATCTTTTTGATCACCAAGTATGGTATCCTACTACGGAAGGATCCCGCCCTCAAGGCGTTGTACACCATTCCATTCTACTTCTTCTTGACTACCGGCCTCCTTACCAGTATGTCCCCTCAAGACCCTGATCCTTTTGTATCAGCTACTAATAAGATACAGTGCTTATTGTCTGGAAGGGTGGTAGCAGCAGGATTGACCTTGAAGGGCCTGAGATAGCTGGAACTGTTATTGGTGTTGCCGTTGGGATGGCTCTTATCTCTGCCGTCTTCCTTTGCCCCTGGATCTACCGCAGGGTCATCAGGGGTGACTGGCAACTCAAGCCTTGGGATCTGATCTACGGCCCTCTTCTCCTCAGCCGTGGTGAAGTCCCTCCTCGTCCTGCCCATGTTGACACCGTCCGTAACTTCTATCGGGGCCACAAGACCCTAGAGGAACTGGAAGCCGAGCGCTCCACTGATGTCGAACAAAGCCACAGCAACAGCAACAGTGAACCTGACTCTCCTGATCTCAAGGCAGAGCATCAGGTCACTGCCAACTCGGATAGCGAGACAAAATCCGTGGATCCTGATGTCATTAACGTTTGTGGTCCTCGTCCCGAGGGAGCATGGTATAATCGTGCAGTCCTGTTCTGGATGCTGAAGAAGGGCTTGTTCCACGGTGTCGAGCAAGACATTGTTAGCGACCAGAAGGGCGAGAGTAGACTCGCCGGCGATCTCGAGAAGACCCATGCCCATGCTGAACACTATGATAACGAAGCGGAGTACATGTTTTCTTTCCTCCAGATTTTGACAGCCTGTACTGCTTCTTTCACCCATGGTGCGAACGATGTTGCAAAGTTAGCTTTTCCACTTCACCTACCTACCATCGACTCATGCACTAACTATTCCCAGTGCTGTCGGCCCCTACGCTACCATCTACGCTATTTGGAGAACCGGTGCCCTTGAAGGCGCTAAGACCGAGGTCCCAATCTGGATCCTGTAAGCTTCAGTCCTCCAATTTAAGGACGCTCCTGTGCTAACGCACATTCTCCAGTGTCTTCGGTGGTGTCTCTATCGCCATCGGAATTTGGACATACGGCTATCACATCATGCGCAACCTGGGTAACCGTCTTACCCTGCACTCTCCCTCTCGTGGGTTCGCTATGGAGCTGGGTGCCGCCATTGCTGTCATTATTGCCACCAGGCTGAGTATGTCTCCTTTTATCTAATCCCACATCATTACAAGACCACTCGCTAACATGTCACACTTGCAGAGCTCCCCGTCTCCACCACCCAGTGTATTACTGGTGCTACCGTCGGCGTTGGACTTTGCAACGGCACCTGGCGAACGATCAACTGGCGAATGGTGGCCTGGATCTATATGGGTTGGATCATCACGCTTCCCGGCGCCGGTATCATCGCCGGTTGTCTGACTGGAATCATCGTGAACGCGCCTCGCTGGGGTATGCCTAACTGATTGGATGGCTTCGTAAGCTTTCGTTGCTTGGCCACCTTCAATTCGGCGCTCCCTCCAGGCTAAGCCGGGGTTCTTGTGTTCGCCTCTGGCTTTTGCCGGTGTTAAACCATTAGTTAGAATATATAATAATTTAAAGCAGCACATCTCTAGTTGTGGGCTTAAAGCACTTTCAGTATATTTAATAAACTTTCTATAAGGAATAGCTGGTAATACAGAGAGGTGAGAGTAGTTCAATACTAGCTAAAGCGAGATCATAAGAGAATCTGCTCGCATTCCTCGGCTGGTTTGAGCCTGAAGCCTTTCATACCACCTTGCCAGCTCAATGCGATTGCCGTTCTGGCTGAATCACGTAGCTCTGATTCATACTCCCCGATGACATGTCGACCGAGGGTTTGCGAATTTACTGCAACCTCAAGCCTACGAGCCAGATCTGCAGCGTCACGCAAGGCAGTGTTAGCCCCCATCGCTCCAGTTGGGGGCATGGGATGAATCGCATCGCCGAGTAAAGTTACATGGGGTGAGGACTCCCAGGAGGCCAACTCTGGTGAGGCAGAAATCATCCACCGGGTTGACGTTTGAGCCTCGTCTTGCATCTCGAAAAGCACCTGCAAGTCAGGATGCCATGACTTGGTAATATGTCGAGCAAGTTCAGCTGACCTTTCTGGGCTTAATGGCCATAATGTGCCGTCTGACGACGTGATATTCGAATGATGAGTGATAAGCACCCAATACACGTATGGGTCGGGAAGCTGAGGTTTCGAGACTTTTTCTGCGTGTGGGAAACGGATGGCTTCAAATAGCAAGGAGGTCCGAGACTCATCGTCTGGGTTTGAAACAAGCGACATTCCATGATGGTACGCCTGGGGAAACCGAGCCAGAAATTCGGGGCTCAAAGGTGTCTTTCCAAAGACGATGCGCATACCAGTATCAATACCCATTAGATCTGGTAGGTACTGTTTGCGGACCCTAGATCGAACTCCATCTGCACCAATAATCAGAGCTCCAGTTTCCTTTGAACCATCTGCAAAGAATGCAATCGTGTTTCCGTCGTCCACGGTGTAATGGTCGAAGCTCTTTCCGAAAAACACATGCTCATCCAAACCCGTTAGCAGAACCTCACGGAACGTGTTCCGATCAACGGTCTGGGGCTCGAGAAAAGTAGCCGACCCAAGGGGCCTAGGAGGACCAGTGCCGCCTAGTGGTGTACCATTGGGTTTAAGTCTCACTCCCCCCATGATCGTCTCGGCGCAGGTGTTCTCGAACAGAGCATATAGCTCAGGCGACAGGGTATCCTGGAGGGCGTAGATACCTTCACTGCTCACCCTCAATCTGTACCCCTGAGTCCGAAAATCATGCCTTTCGTCCTGTTCAAAGAGTTTGAATGGCATGTTCCGTTTTTTCAGTCCCTGGGCCAAGCAAAGGCCGCCGAGCCCAGCACCGATAATCAAGATAAGATGAGACATGGGAGTTGTGCAATAAGAGATGGAGAAGCTAATATCAGAAACAAGGGCGGTTAATATATGTCTTTGGGAGAACCAAACTGTACAGGCTTTTTGTTTGGGACATCACCAAATTTATATATTATCGTATCGACATGTATGATCTCAGCCCCCAATCTGACAGCCGGACATCGGGACTCAAAAGGCCCGACAAGTCGGCCATCTCGGGGCTTTTTCACCGCAGTATGTTGTAGATATCATTTGATAAATATCCGGAATTAAATCCTATGGTAAGATCTAACGGATTATCTGTATATAAGTCGGGATCTTCTCTCACAAAGCCGCTAAATTAGAGTTCGATGACGGACTACGAAGCGGGAAGGCGCCAGCTGCCAAAACCCTATTTCTGGTAAATGTTGATGCCTTGATGCCTTGCTTTGGCCTGGTTATTGACCGCTGCTTACACCGCCCTATACAATGTACTGTAAATCATTCGACGACGCTGAATTAAGCCTTGTTTTAGACCGCCTTCAGGCCTGTAACCAACTCGGCATGGAATAACTAGGCGCCGTTAACCCAAAAAAAATGAGGCTTTTGATCCCCATACAAACGGCGACATCTCCATGCTTTTGGATGGTTTGTAAGTCCCAAAAATGAAGTTTTTCATCCCACACAAATGCAGATATCTCTACTTTATCGGACGGTTTGTAAGTGTCAAAATGAAGCCCTTTGTATGCAGATGAAAAGCTTCATTTTTTAACACTTACAAACCGCCAAAAAAAACAGAGATATCTGAATTTGTATGAGATAAAAAACTTCATTTTTTGACTCTTGCAAACCACCTAAGAAAGTCGAGATATCTGAATTTGTATGGGATGAAAAGCTTCATATTTGAGAGTTGTCATCGCCAGCAAAATCAGGCTACTTTGATTATTAAGGAAGTGTCATGGTAATTCAGGTATTTTAATTCTTCTGCCGGTATTAATTCAGGCCGCCAGGCCAAAGCAAGGCATCGAGGCATGAACATTTACCGGAAATAGGGTTTTGGCAGCTGGCGCCTATACCGCTTCGTAGACGGACATAACCTTGTGAGGGAATAAATACGGCGTATTTTCCACTAGACCATAACAAAAACCTCGGTTCCTGTTTAGGGCCTAGGGAGGCCATATCCCAGTCTGACACCTTGGAAAGAATAGATGGCGTATTAAGATCTCTCAAATAACCAATAATGCCATAGATACAAACCTGGTATGATATTTCCAGTTAGAAGTTATATACAGATGCCAAGATGTCGAGCGTTTCAGGGGAAACAGTATGATCCAATGATATTATTCAGCTGAAAGGCTCGATTTTGACCCTAATTCTCACCCCATCTATACTGCCTCACCTTCTCATCATCACCAACCACCTACAGTCCCTATTAATCTTTCACTATGTGATCCTCCTCTACAAATAGCATAATACATACGACCATAGGGTGTGGAAAATAGGGCTTCCCGTCCGCTCAGCCGTACTCAAGCCACACGCCGGTGAGTTAGTAGTTGGGTGGGTGACCACCAGCGAATCCTCACTGTTGTATGTTTTTGCTTTTGTATGTTTTTGTTATATATTTTCCAGACCACCCTTTAAGTAAAGACCTGGCCCGGTCGCAATTATAATATGTCCCTCCTCCCTTACAGCACTAGAGCCAGATCATTATGAATGAATATCACAAAAATCACGTTTACCATCCTTATTATCTTATAGTGAATCTCTATGAAATTTTCTGTAAAGGCGAAAAAAATGGTTCAATTTCTAATACCGCCATAACGAAACTAATCCATGCTGACCAACTTGACTACTAAGCTACCTACTAAGCTACCTCCTAAGCTACCTCCTAATCTAGCTCCTAGCTCCTAATCTAGCTACTAGCTAGCTTAGCAGCTGCCTATATAGCCAATACTCTCTCTCTAGGACTAATATCTTAGTCAAGTATTATAATTCCTCCCCTACCCCCCACCCCCTTAGGGGTGGGGGGTGGGAGGAGGTTAAATTCCCCTACTATACTACTGCAGGTGGTACATAACTGTTGAGCAATCTATGGTAGATTACTACTGAGAGTGGGAAAAAGCAGGAGAAAGATTCTTAATTGCTAAAACTAATCATGCAGGGGTTTATATACCCTGCAAACATTGCTCAATTGTAGCAAACAACAAATAGCAAATAGCAAACAATATCAAAAGGCTCAGTCTGCAGCAAACAACATGCATGCATGCATGGGAGATTGTAACTGATTATAGTGTAGTCCTTGACTCTATCCATTTCACAGATAAAACAGTCTCTACTCCCCCAATCCAAGCGTCTTTGCAATTCCTTCCGCTGCATGCTTTCCAAGTGCATCCAAATTTCCCATACCCAACAACTCCAGCACTGTAATGTCAAATCCGAAAGCCTGGCGCCACCAACTACGCATCTCGACACTGCTCAGCGAGTCCATGCCTAGCTGTGAGAGCGGAACAGCCGTGTCTAGATCCTCATCGGAGCGGAGAAGGATAGTAAATAGCTTGAGGCCAATCTGGCGTGCGAGGAACGAAGTAGTCTCTTTGGTACGGAGGAGCGCGAGCGCACCACCTTCTTCGACGGTGCTAGCGTGAACACGCTTCAAGAATGCATCGAGGCCGTTGGTGCTTTTACAGTCGGCATTTTGAGAAGCAGAGGAGTCCGAGGTGTTGTGGTAAAGTGCCATCCTCCTATCCTGTCGGTGAAAGGCGCGGTTATCGGGGTTGTTAAGCGGCATGGTTGTTCCAAGACCAGTGATGAACGTGTGTCTGTCAAAGAATTTGGCACTGCTTATAGCAGTGCAACCATTGCTGGTGACGTCTGGCTGATCTGCCTCACTGATCGGCGAGAATGTCGATAGTGCTGCCGTGATATACTCCAGCAATTCCAGCTCCTTAATTCCCAGGGCGCACGCCTGTGCCATTCTCTGCATCAGACTGTCATCCAGAGAGGCGGCGCCAACGTCCATGACAGCTCCAATGTTGATTGCAGCCGCAGCCAGGCCAAGATTGGTCCTGTACTGTACGAAAGCATCGAGGAATGTGTTCGCACCAGCATAATTGGCCTGGCCTGGTGTGCCAAGGGTTCCAGACAGCGATGAAAAGAGCAAGAAGAAGTCGAGGGTGATGCCAGCCGCGATAGTGGCCTCATGCAGGAGCCATGTGCCGCGCACCTTGGGCGCAGAAGCTGCGTGCCAGTCGTCGATAGTCATTTGCATGAATCCAACATCTCTGAGCACCATAGTGCACTGCAAGATACCTCTCAAGGAGGGACCGGCTTGTTGCACCGTATACGCCACATCGTCAGAATTGGTAACGCTGCCTTTGATGAGAACAACTTCACAACCCATGCTCTCCATTTCACGCACAAATTCGGCGTGGTCGGGACTTTGTCCCGAGCTTCTGGAAAGGAAAAGCAAGCGGCGGGCACCATTCTCGACCAGTAGACGTGATACTGAGCGTCCTAGACCACCAAGTCCACCCACAAGCAAGTAGGATGCTGAGTTGTCTAGATTCAGCTTTTTGGCTGTCTTTACACGATTCGACTTGCTGACCATAACGCAGCCATCTTTGTCTCGAATGGAGATGACAAGCTTGCCGATGTGCTGGCCCTGTTGCATATTTCGGAACGCGCTCTGGATTTCTGACGCATCAAAGGTTTTGATGGGCCTGATGGGGCTGATATCGCCCTTCTCGTAGAACTCCACGATGGAACGAAGCAATCTATAGTAAGAAATGTCAGCTCCCTATCATAAAACACGACTCGGAATAGGGATTTGCCACTCACTCTTTGCAAGAATCCTGTCTCTTTTCTCTGAGCTGGTCGAGATCTAGACAAGCATAGGTTCTGTTCGCCAAGAAGACATCCATGTCGAGGCGACCAAAGCCCAGAAGATCCCGCTTTCCGATCTCAACCATAGTACCGAACTCGGCGACACAGTGCCAGGTCGCATGCAAAAGCTCACCCGACAGGGAATTCAGGACCAAGTCCACGCCCTTGCTATGGGTCTCACGCATCAAGCCATCCACGAAGCTGATATCCCGAGAGTTGAAAATCCGATTCTTAGGGAAGCCTAGCTCATTGGTTAGGTGTGCAACCTTATCCTCGCTGCCGACAGTCATGTATATTTCGGCCCCGGCCATCCTCGCGAGCTGGATGGCAGCAAGACCAACACCACCGCAAGCGCTGTGGATAAGTATCGACTACAAGAAAGACCAAGTTAGATAGTGACGTGGATTGGCTCGATTGTGTGGAATGGACTTACCTGTCCCTTTTGCAAGTGTCCCAGATTGAACAATGCGTAAATCGCTGTCGCAAAAACAGCGGGCATCGTTGCTGCGTCCTCAAATGTCAAGATATCAGGAATCTTTTGACAGTGTCTCTCATCGACTGTAATGTTCGTCGCAAAAGAACCGTTACCAAGAAGCATCACTCGATCACCGATTTGGAAGTTTTTGACATTCGGACCAACACAGCAGACAACACCACTGGCTTCCAGGCCTAGACCCTCTTCAGGGAAGGGGACTACACCTAGAGCACATAAGACATCCTGTTCAATTGATCAGCGGGAATCCTTCCGTTGCTATCAAGCCTGTGCAAAAGTACTTACTCTGAAATTCAGACTAGAAGCATGGATGTGCACCTCCACATGGTTGTCTCTCAGCTTTTTCGGTCCGGAAGTTTGCCATGTCAAAGACGTCAGACGACCTGGGTTCGCCATGTGAAGCGCCACCTGATCCTGGTCGTTCTCTGAGTCTCTTGAGCCTGACGCGGTTTCCTCTTCGAGTAAGAATGGGTATAGACGGCTGACGTATACCTCACCTTCGGAAATGGCATACTCAAAATCAGGCTTGAGAATCTCGTCCGGGTTGCGTGTCTGATAGCGCTCAAACACTTCAACAATTCGGTCCAACGAGGATTGCATGTCATCCACTTCCAAAGTACCGACATTCAGGAGCATCTCGCTGCGGATTGTGCGTGCAGCACCAATACTTTGGGCGTACCTTGGGTTTTGGCATCGAATATGACAAGGTCGCATAACCCATAGCAGGCGAGACCTGCCAAGCGTTCCGACAAGACTCTGGAAAGCGCTGTACCGCGTCTCATCGATATCTTCAAAGAAGGGGCGATCATAGTCAAGCAGACAAAGCACGTCTTGATTATCTGGCAGCCTTTCGCCAAGCTGAACAGTGTGCACGGTGTAGCCATTGTCTTGGAGTTGTTGAGAAACAGAGTTTACAAGACTAGGCGTGCTGTTGTCGTCACACAACAGTGAGACTGCCTTGAGGTTGTGGCCGTTTATCGCTGGTGTGCCGTCTGCTTTGGCTTTTGCTACGATGAGGGCACTAAGCTGATGAGGCTCCTCGCCGTCGAGAACAATGGCAGGTTGCTCAAAGCCCGCTGCTGTAAGTTCTGAGTTCCAACGGACCGGGGTGACATATGGCTCGTCAGACCGTCCATCCGACTCGCCGGACCACCAGCTGGGCAGAGTACCCAAGATAAAATTGGGCCATTTCGAAGTTGAGAAGAGGTCAACGAGGAGCAGTCTACCGTCAGAGCCTAGTAATTTGCGTACATTCCTGAGACTTTCGCCAAGGTTTTTTGTGACGTATAGCACATTGGTGGCAATGACGAGATCGTACTTCACGTCGCTGCTGAAATCCTGCTCAATAGGGTCTTTGCTAATGTCCATTGTGCGGAATTCCATGTTGTTATTGCCCTTGAGTAGCTTCTTGGCGGAGACAAAAAATCCGGAGGAGATATCGGTAAAAGTGTAGTGGCCATATGAGGCAAACCCCATGGCCCTAGGCAGAGTCAAATCCTTCAGTATCTGCACAGTGGAGGCGCCGGTTCCAGCACCAATCTCAAGGATATTGAGATTGGGTTTGGTATGGGCCAAATGTTTGATGAATTCTGATCTATCGCATGTGTCCATTGAGCCGTACATCTCATGGAGTGTATTGTCGGCCAGGAGGATGTCCAGGGCCTCGGTTTGACCAGAAAGCAAGCCAGATATGTTCGTGGCAACCTTCTGCATAGCAATAGCACAAGCTGCCACGGGTGTGTCAGACATGTTCTGAGTGAGGCTGCGGATCTTCGCCATGATGCTTTCGTCGTCGGAAGCCGCGATTGCTGGATCTATGCTCTCGCCCAAGCTTTGTACTTGGGTGCTGATCCAAGCCTGGTATTTTTCCATGTGGGACACTGAAGTTGGAACGTCATTTATGAGACGATGCGTATACACGAGACACAGTTGAGCCAGCTCGTCCAAAAGTGGAGTGTACACGTCACGGGGAAGCGATGGTTGAATGAGAAGCTTATCATCCAGGAAGTCGAGGTGCGGGCCCCATGTGAGGCGTGCCGGGTACTGAGAAATATCTTTATCCGCTGCTTCAGCCTCCTGGAGTGGCGACATTCTCAGTCCCTCCACGTGGAAAATGATTTTTCCATTTTGAATGACCTGTTGAGCTTGGCCGACGAGACCACCGCCATGGTTGAGCAGTGTTGCTGACGTTAATATCTTCATATCGCCGCTTGGTTCACATTGATGCATCGTCAAGCTCGCAATCTTAGTTGGCACCCTCCGGTATAGCGTGGTATTGGGATGACCCTTAAGTGCTGCAAAGAGAGCCGATTGAAAGACTGCATCTACAGCTGTTGGGTGCAGGTGATAGTTCTCTTCGTCCCCGATTGTCACGTTAGACAGGTCAGCGGTTGATGAGTCCTGCTCCATACCACATCTAGGGTTCTCAAGGCGCCTAAAGCGAGGGCCAAACTGTAAGCCAGCTGTATCCATGAAATTATAGTACCTCGCTGACTCCAGCTTTCTAGGCAACGGGGCGTTGTCAGCCTTTGCCGTTTGAGTATTGCCAGCTTCAGACATAACCTGACCAGTACAGTGCGACACCCAAGAATGCCCATTGAATGAAGCAATGGTGAAGTCCCACCACTGGCTTTGGAGTGAGTCGGTGAGTCGATGAGGACGGAATGTTGTGACCAACTCGGTGCTACCCGTGTCGGCCAAAAGAAGAGCCGTACTAATCACAATACGGCGCATAGTGAGCCCAGTGTGCGGGCGACTCAGCTGTCTCATCGCTTCACCGACCATGGCAAGGTAGCCTGCACAGGGGAAAACCATGCTGTTTTCAATCCTGTGGTCGCGAAGCCAGCTGCAGTCCTTGTCTACAAGAAGTAGATTCCGCCAGCTAGGTTCGAGAGAGGTGCTCTCAAGCTGGCGCACACCCAAGAGAGGATGACTTGGGAACTCGCGATTTCGCCATTCGCGCGATATTCTTGATTCTTGCCAGTACTCAGTCTCGTAGTTCCAGGGATACGGGGGTAAGTCTGAAAGACAGTGTCCACCAGTTACGATTGTGCTAAAGTCGATTGGAACATTGAGCTCGAATAACTTGCCAACGGCCGAGAGGAAGGTCTTAGTGCAGTCCTCACCACGCGACATCGTCGACACGTATGGGGCCGAGCTCGACACCTCAGCCGAGATCTGTCGAAGAGGGCCAGAAAGAGCTGAATGGGGCCCTAGTTCCAAGAAAACAGGGTTCTCGATGTGGGCGAGGACCTGTAGGACTGCTGTTCTAAAGAGCACCCGGGACTCAAGGTTCTTCTGCCAGTATGGCCCATCAAGCGGAATTGTCTCTATCTTTCCAGTTACACTTGAAAAGAATGGCCTGACCGGTTTCCTACCGATGAAGTTGCGCTGCAGTACAGCAGAGTACTCCTCTCCAATTTCGCTCATGTGGTGGGAGTGATAGGCCCTGTCAACCTTAAGGAGCCTTGTTAAGGCTTCAGGGTGCGTCTTTTTGATACGCAAAATTGTGTCATTGATCTCAGGAGCATCACCAGACAAAGTGATGCTCTTGTTCGAGTTCTCACATGCGACGGTGACATTGGGAGATAGGAGGTCTCGCACCTCATCCAAGCCTAGTCCTATCGCAGCCATAGCCCCGGGTTTTGTTTGTTTCTTGACAGCAAGACCGCGCTGCCAGGCCACAATGATGGCTTCCTTTTCAGTCAGAGCCCCAGCAGCATATGCGCCCGCGATCTCACCGCTGCTGTGTCCCACAGCCGCTTGTGGTTCAACACCGGCTGCCAAGAACATGTTGACTAGGCCAATCTGGATGGCGGTACAAAGTGGCTGTGAAAGCTCTGCTGTCTGCATACCGGACGTCCGTGGTGGCTTCAAAAGCTCTTCTTCCAAGGTCCATCGTGGAAGAGAAGGTGCCTGCGCATCTCGGAGGTGTTTATCGAGGGAGCGAATGGTACTTTGAAAACAGAGATCAGAGCGCAGAAGCAGCTCCCGACCCATACGAGGCCACTGAGCACCTTGCCCGGTGAAAACCATGACAAGATTTGGCCGCGAGCCTGCTACTCTCTTGCTTGGAGATACAACGCCAGCCCCGTCACTCTGGGCAACCATGAAAGCGCGATGTGGAAGGTGCTCTCTTTTGTTTGCCAGAGTGTATGCTAGGTTTTGGAGGTATTCAGATGAAAGCGGTCCTAGGCATTTGCTGCCAACCAAATCGTGGAAAGTCTGCTTCATCGTTTTCAAAGATGACCCTGAGCTGGCTGAGAATACCAACAACTGCGAGCTGGGACTGGACTGCTTTTTTGCGGCAGTGTCAGGAGCTGGAGTAGTATAGCCATTGCTGGTAAAGTTGGAGGATCTAACACTGCGCGCTGAATCGAGAATGACATGCGCATTAGATCCTCCGATACCGAAGGAGTTCACACTAACTCTCTCGTGGCGAGATTCTGGCCAGGGGATGGGATTGAGAGGAACGATCAACTTTCTTTCCTTGAAGGGAATCTTTGGGTTCGGGCTAGAGAGTTTAATGTTTGGTAGAATGGTACGGTTTTCCAGACTGAGTACGGCTTTGATCAATGATGTGAGGCCCGATGCACCTTCAGAGTGGCCTAAGTTTGGTTTGACCGAGCCAATAAAGACACCCGCGTCACCAAATACGCGAGCAACGGCGTTGGTCTCTATAGGATCTCCAACAGCAGTTCCAGTGCCGTGACATTCCACAAAAGCAGTCTGAGAAAAGTCGCTGATCCCCGCGAGCTGGTATGTCTTTCTGATCATGGCTTCTTGGGAGTCAGTACTGGGATAGGTAATTCCCTGAGTTTTTCCATCGTGATTAGCCATAGTGCTCTTGATCACGGCACGAATGGGGTTTCCGTCGCGCAAGGCCGCGTCTAGCGGTTTAATATACACAGCTGAGATGCCCTCGCCTCTCGCGTATCCATCTGCGTCGCTGGAAAAGGTTTTGCACGAGCCTTCAGGAGAGAGGACGCCTTTCTCTGACATGAAAGCTGTCATGGCAGGAGCTAGGATCAAGTTGATACCTCCTACTATAGCAGCCTCGCAGTCGCCATGTTGGATTGCAAGACAAGCCTCATGTAGACTGGTGAGAGCAGATGAACACGCAGTGCGGACCGTCATACTATTTCAGTGTTAGAATTTGAGCAGAAACATGTAGGAAAGGAGCATACATATATAATTACCTCGGTCCATGTATGTCCATCTCATATGAAACCCGGTTGGTCAACATGAAATCGCTGTAACCGTCGACTCTGTAAGGACCAGACTGAAGAGGATCTTTGGTTTGCATTTCCAACCACTAAAGTTTCAGTCAGTGATATCCCGTCAAAAGCTGTATGCAGGTCAAGATCTTCTAGCGGCAAGCAACGGGGTCGACTACTACTAGTATAACAGAACAAAGACTGATACATGGAAGGGCAAACAGTGATCAAGAACACAACTTACATCTTCACCGTAAGATCCAATGTAACACCCAATATTTCTTCCTCTAAAATTTACCTCGCCAGCATCGTCGAAACACTCTCTGACCACCTCGAGCATGCGGCGCAGCTGAGGGTCAGCACCTTCGAGCTCAGCACGGCTAAGAGTGAATCGAGAAGTATCAAAAGCACCCAAGCTAACATCATCATTGAGGAAGTATCCATACTTAGTAGTAACCGAGCCAGGCCGTCCAGACGTGGAGTGGTATGACGAAATGTTGTAGCGAGACTCTGGCACCACACTCCTGGCATCACCCTTGGCCAATAGAAAATCCCATAACTGCTGAGGAGTTTCTAAGCCGCCAGGAAGCCGAAGTGCCATACCACAAATGGCAATGGGAATCTGTGCTCTGGTTCCAGTGGTGCCAGCGGCGTGCACGGAAGTCGACGTGTCACCGTTGACATTGGCCTGCATAGGTGCGAGGCCATTGGTGCCATTCAGGCCATTGACATGGGGAACGGTCCCGTTGACGTGAATTTTTGCAACGCCAATAACGCCATTCACAGGAAGGCCGTGGCTTAGGTGGTTGTCTGCGGGTTTAAGGACTTCCACGGTCATTTTGCTGTCGTTGATCAAATATTGTTGATATTGAGGGGGCGGGATGGAGAAAATGGAATCTCAATTGACGTCTAAGCAACTAAAGGGGGTTCCACCTCTTATTAGAGCTAGAAAACATGTACTCGCATTGGCACTACCATTGAACTTGACCTCGGGAGAACTAGGGCAGCTAGTTGAACCCACGTAATGATACTGTACTGTTGGACAATCATCCCATGCATGCATGTTTGCCATTTGCATGTTTGTTATTTGCTACAGATTGAGCATTTTGTTTGCTATTTGCTAGTTTGTTTGCTACAGATTGAGCATAGATTAGATGGTTTAACAGGTATACAAACCCCTGCATTTCTAGTTTAATCAATTAATGATTATTCCTCTGCTTTTCCCCCACTGTAGTACTATCCACTATAACAATTAGGATGAAGCTGACAGTATCGGCAAAACTTGAAGGATTGCTCTATAGTCAATGCAACCTTCTCCGGCAAGATCCTCATGATGCCATGAGTCAAGTCTAGTCATACTGGCTTGAACAGTTAGTATCTCTTAGTCTAGTGGATATTTCTTATGGGCCAATTTCGCATGAGATGCCGTCAAGTTTCAGGTCTTACTAGTAGTTCCAAGGTTCAAACAGTTATCCTATCTTCCAATGTGTAGAGAATCACACATGTGCGTAAGTCTCATTCGGCCACTTGAAGGCGTCCAGGCTTACGGCTATCACAATATTTCCAGGGTTCTAGGGTACACTTTCCCACAACATTGAATGTTCTCAACCTTTCATGGTTTACAAAACATGGACGTTCTATCTAGTACTGGTAACTAGGTGGAGAGTATATCCAGTGTAGCAAAACGGGAAGGTATAGTCCAATTGATTAATCAAACCTCCAGCATTCACATGTGGTTACCCCTCTTCCGAATCGCAGACGCAGAGCATGGTTTATACTACTAGTATCGTAAATACGAGGGGTTGGATTGAGGGCTTGGCCTCCAGTACCCAGTCTTATAGTGCTCTCGGGGATTTGGTGCCTGAATGCCTTATTTTAGAACGGCAGAAAATTAAAGATACCTGAATTGCAATTACATATGCCTTAATAATAAAAGTAGGCTGCCCAGGTGATTCTGCTGGCGTTCATCTAGAATACTGCCAGGAAATATAAAAAACCAATGAGAGAGTTAGGCGGCCAGGGTTCAAAACCCCCTTTATGGATGATTTCATGCTTGAATGCCTGACTTTAGAACAGCAGAAAAATTAAAATACCTGAATTTCTATTACAGATGCCTTGGTAATAATACAGTGACTCCGCAAAAGTGTTAACACCTTTCTGCTACCGCCTTCTCAATTAATCATACCTTTCAGCTCCATTTAAATACGTGGACAAAGCCCCTGATCTGGCAAATCTTCTTTATTGTTGACACTTGCAAACCTCCTAAAAATATCCAAGTCAATTGTCATATCTAACATGCTGCTAAACCCTATTTGATTTTGTGCATGCGTCGTTTTTTGCACACGCCAAGAATTCAGGACTCCTACGGAATCGGGATTAGCGGCGTGGATGTAGTTTGACGCCTCTATCACATAGCCGTGCCAAGCGCTCAATAATTAGGTTATTGGGCGCTTGGCACGGCCATTCCTCCCTCCATAAAAACTCGAGCATCCTGTATGGCATTTCAATTCAGACTGCTTCTGATGCATATGCGGGCGACTAAGTATGCCACCTGGACATAACTCTCTTACTCGAAGCATTCTATTTGTTCTATACCTGTATTAATATACCAGGCGGTACCAAGACCCCGTAGGCCACCTGAGACGCGTGTCCTATACTAATCTGTTGAACAATCATCCCATGCATGCATGTTTGCCATTTGTTGTTTGCTATTTGCTATTTGCTGGCTTGTTTGCTACAGATTGAGCATGGTTTAGATGGTTTTAACAGGGTATATAAACCCCTGCATTTCTAGTTTAATCAATTAATGATTCTTCCTCTGCTTTCTCCCACGTTGAAGCAATCTCTATAATAGAATTTGCTCACCATAATCTAATTATGCGGTATCCACGAGAAGTCAATGTAACCGTCGGGCAACATTGTTGGGTCCTCCGCTTGGGCCGGAGATAAAGGGAATTTTATGTAGGTAGCTAGTAACTATAGAGGTTGTATCATGTTCTTTTCTGTGGGACGTTATTTACTAGTAGTAAAGAAAAGGACCAAGGCGGGGTCCTCCGTCATCGCAGGCTTTTTGTATGCGCACTATTTGCACTTTTATGTTCACACATTCCAATTGAAGTTCCAAGTTATCTTTATTCTCAACCAAACTCTACCCTATCCTCCACCATGTCTAGCTCAGGCTCCTTTCTTGTTGAATGGTCCAAGGCGCAGAAGCCAAGGGCTTCCCTTGTGAAGAATGAATCCGTCTTCTACCGCAACCTCGAAGCGGAGCTCGATGCCCGAAGAGCGGTGCACGGCTGCATGTCAATCCACACCATTCCAAAGGGTGTATCCGACTTTGCCTCTGCCGATTCGCTTGGGCTCGGCTCCTCGGGTGTGCTTCGAGCTGCCTTCATGGAGGAATTGGCAAGCCAGCCGGATGCCTGGATAGGCGCGTCTGGGACAAGACTTGCCTTTGGCAATACAGCATACCTTGAAACCCTGGAGCAAGAGATTGCCGAATTTCACGGCTCTGAGACAGCCTTGATTACCGTCAATGGTGGCCAGGCCAATGGTGCTATCTTTTCCTCGATTCCTCGGCCAGGAGACGCCATTGTGTATGATGAATTCATTCATGCCACAGTACACGAGGGGATGAAAGACAGTCTTGCACTGGTCAGGAAGGCATTTCGTCATAACAATGTGGACTCTTTCGTGGAAACCTTGGTCGACATCCGTGAATCCCAGCCGCTCATCCGTGAGGGTCAGCGATGTGTTATTGTTGCTCTTGAGGGTATCTATAGCATGGATGGAGACTTACCTCCACTACCAGAGCTTATTGTTGTGGCGAAGGAAATCTTTCCTGAGAATAACGTCCAATTTTACATTGATGAAGCTCATTCCAATGGAACCATTGGCCCGAAGGGTGCTGGGATTGTTTGCGCACTTGGTCTCGAGAAGGAGATTGCCATTCGCATGCACTCCTGTCCAAAGGCTCTCGCATCGCATGGAGGTAAGCTGAACATTCCCTTGTCGTTATTTCAATGCTTGTGTATGAATAAAAGCTAACATCTGTATTAGGAATTATCTTGTGCAACCAAACTGTGAAAGCAATGATCCTCAACAACTCGAGGAGTCTCATGTTTTCAGGAGCTCCAAGTTTCCACATGTTGGCTGCAATTCGGGCAGGATACAACCTTCTACGGGCTGGTAAAACGGAAGAGGTAAGTCGTGACAAAACAAACATTAATTGTCAGTGAGTACTAAAACAGTATCATATCAGGCCCAAGCTAGAATGGAACACCTCGTAAACCTTTTCATGGAGCGAATGACATCGAATCCAGTTTGGGAACGAGCCAACGATGAAATGGTTTTGCAAGTACCTCTCTGGGACCTTGAGAAAGATGCACAGCCCTTTGTGACTCATATCTGCCCTGTTATGACGCGCCCAAATAGTAAGGATCATCTTTACCTTACATTCCATTTGCAGCTCGCAGGGTTTGTCGTGTACCCCGTCTTCTTCCCTGTTGTTCCTAAAGGCACTGAGAGGGTGAGAATCATGATCCATGCCTCTCACACCGAGGCTGAAGTCGAAGCCCTGGTCGCATGTATTTGTTCCTGGGCCAAGGAGATGCTCGAGATCATTGAAAATGGTCGTGATGGAATTGAACTACCCAGCGCCGCTCGTCAAGTTTACGCTATGGTTAACAAAGGCTTGACACAATGATATGTACCTAACTGATAGCACCGTGAGGAAATCGATGGATTTATACTAGATTGACCAGTTTATTCAAGTTCTTTTATATCTTTGGGCTAGATCCAAGATAATAGCTTGGTCTTATCAACGGCCATATTTCTATATACGGCCTTAATATTTAGTGAAGTATACGATGACAGGAACGATTTGCACCGGGAATATTCATGTGTCCAGGACCTCGGGAAGATAGATGGGCAGCCCCGGAGGAAGCACCGTCGGCAAATCGATCCTTAGGTCTGATAGATCCGTCTATGAACAATACCATTGACTAAAAATACATAATAAGGATGATACTAACAATAGCAATCTTACATACTAGTATGATACTACATTCTTGAATTTAGCATTACCTGCATGAATAGGTCCGTGCCTGGTTATAGTGCGTATGCAGTAGTGGGGTGAAAATCCATTCAATTTCTGCCTGGAGGGGATGATATCGTATTAACCTGATGCTACCTCGCTAGTATCGCTGGTAATTCAAGTGGACTAGTTATGGTGCCTTAGAAGGATAACTTATTGGGTGCATGGGTGCCCAAGGCACATGAACCCACATGGGACAGACCCTACCTTCTCTCTTTCTCCTCTCCGTCCATCCACATTCAGATGAATCCTACCGTGTTGTTTCTCCATCTCCAATCGCAACTCCGTAGGATCTCTGTTATAACTTCCAAGGTTCGCCTGGACTTACCAGAAGTATACCCTGTTCCATAAAAAGCCACTGGAATCCATACTCAGAATTCAAATCATTATACAACACATTTTGAAAACTCTTTGCCACAAAATGACAGCAACACGCGCTAAGCTCAGGAATGATGAACTGAGTTCCCTCCAGCAAGCTCCATCGGAATCTGTGGTAGAACCCTCTTCATTCTGGCGGATACGAAGAGCACTCTCAAGTCTCGACAGCCGACGACTGACCCGCAAGGACGTCCCACTACAAGACCTGAGGGGTAAATGGGTGATTGCCTCAGGCTCTAACAGCGGTATCGGACGTGAAGCTGCGCTCTCCTTCGCTCAATGCGGGGCCAGTATTATTCTTGCCTGTCGGAATCCACCGCCCCATGAGGAGAATCCTGCGGTCGTTGTTACTGAATGCAATGTAGCCAGTCAAGCGGCTGGACACGAAGATGCTGTGATCGAGTGGTGGGAAACCGATATGACCAAATTATCCACTGTGAATGCATTTGCCACTCGCTGGCTGGAGACAGGCCGTTCATTGGATATCCTCTGCAATAATGCTGGCATTGGCGGGAATCCCGGTGATGGAAAGGGAGGAATATTGAAGACAGAGGATGGGTTCGAAATTGTTCACCAAGTTAACTTTCTTTCTCATTGCCTACTGACACTACGACTTTTACAATCACTGGCTAAAGCGGCGGAGCCGAGAGTGGTCTTTACCACATCCTGTAACATGTTCTTCGGTACATTTGATTTGAACAAGTTCAACGGTGAAGGCTGCAGTGGCGAGGACTTTTACTGCAACAACAAACTATTTCTCCAAGTCTGGTTGACGGAGCTCCAACTTCGACTTTCGGCATCTGAGCACTACAGTCATATAATGGTCAATGGCGTACATCCTGGATGCACCAACACAAACATGTGGCACATCGATAGAGAACCGGGTTGGGTCAATTGGATGCGCTATCTTTCGGAGTCCTTGCTAGTGAAGACGCTAGTAAGCCTATTTGGGATTTCTGCCGAGCAGGGAAGCTACGCCATTATCCATGCAGCCACCATAACATGGAGTGGATCCGGGATCAATGCCCAACAAGCAAAGGATAATGCCGGGTGCCACGGGGGCAAATATTTTAATCGGATCTGGGAAACTGAGCCTATGCCTTATTGCCATGATCCAGGATCACGCCTTCTTGTCTGGAAAAAAGTCCTGGAGGAGCTTGATTTTGTTTGGAAGCATTCTCTAGATACCTTTTAGTCCTCACACAAGAATATCCCAACCTGGTATCTTATAGAGAGGAGAAGGATAGCCACATTTCTCGCAATATACAAAAGTCTGTGGAGAACACGCCATTCGGAGATCAATAGAAGTAGTTATTATGTTTGTTAATTAATTTGCGGGTCAAGGTGCAGAAGTTGAAACTAGTTGGTAATATTGGATCTGGCATGGCCCCGGGGTTAGTCGCCCGTACCGGGGGTGCCTTTCTCATATCATAGTACATTAGTAATGTCTTGCTTCATGCATTCCACCAAATATAGGGCCATACTAGTACATCGTAAAATGGTACTTTAGAAAGGGCTCGTAGAGATAAGATCTCACTAAGAGATTGGCTATTGTTGAGCAACCTGTTGAACTAGATTACTACTATGTGGGGAGAAAGCAGAGGAAGAATCATTAATTAATTAAACTAGAAATGCAGGGGTTTATATACCCTGTTAAACCATCTAAACTATGCTCAATCTGTAGCAAATAGCAAATAGCAAATAACAAACATGCATGTATGGGATGATTGTTCAAAAGCTATCATATCCTCCAGGGCTGGTTCTTTGGGTTACATGGGCTGGACGGTATCAAATATTAATTACTGTACAATTAATAATAATAAATATCATTTATTCTTTAATTTAATATACTTAATAAAGGATTTTGTTCTAATATTCTTATTCTTATTCTTATTCTTATTATTGTTATTATTATTTTATATTTATAATGTGCTATAAGGCCACCTCCTTTCATACACAAGAGTATTCTCCATCCAGATTCTGATAAATTGACAACAAATTCCTATTCAGTACTCATTTATTCAGTGCTCTTCAACCATGCCTGCAATGTCCTTGGAAGCGATCACGAATATCGCGCGAGAGTTCGGCCACAAACCAGCAGTTGTAACTGCCTTCGCTACACTTGGCGGCATTTGGAGCGTATATCTTCTTAACAATATCAGATATTTTGCGTATCACCACTTTCTTCGACCTACGTCCCTGGGTAAGTATAAGAAGAGCCCTTCTCCGGCTTGGGCTCTTGTCACCGGGGCAAGCGACGGTATCGGCAAAGGGTTCGCCGAGGAGCTTTGCTCTCGTGGCTTCAATGTTGTTCTACACGGACGGAACAAAGCAAAGCTGCAAGCCGTGAAGGACGAATTACTTGAGCAATGGCCTCAGGTTGAAATCAAAGTGCTGGTTCTTGAGGCCGTGGAGACTGCACGCAATCTCGATGCACTCGAGGAGTCTGTACGCTGGGTCGCAAATCTCAATCTCAAGGTTCTTATCAACAATATCGGTGGCTCGGGGGTCTAAAACCAGCATGGTTGAGCTTTGAACAGCGAACAGGAGAGGATACTAGCATGTTGGTTGACCTCAACGCAATGTTCCCGACGCAAGTAACACGCGTATTACTGCCAACCCTGATCAGAAACCAGCCTGCGCTGATCCTGAGCATCGGCAGCATTTGTGGCGAAGTTCCTAGTCTCTATGCAAGCGCGTATGCTGGTGCCAAGGCTTACAACAAAGCCTGGTCTCGGTCCCTTTCTCTTGAAATGAAAGCTGAAGGTCGTGATATCGAAGTCATTGACATTTTGGTTGGAGAGGTCTCATCTGGGAGTCAACCACAAGAGCTGAGCCTGTTCACTCCCAGCTCAAGGCGCATGGCCAAAGACAGTCTTGGCAAGGTCGGCTGTGGTGCGGATGTCATCTGGGGTTATTGGCCACATCATTTACAGTTTGGGTTGATCTTAAGCCTCCCGAGAGCGATCATGGAGAACACGATAAAGGGAATGGTGTTAGAGGAGAAGGCCAAAGAGGGGACAGAGAGAAAAAGCACTTGAGGACGCGACCAATCTGATTAGTTAGTGAGAATTATAGTCCTAATCCAAGATGAATTGAGTTGAGCTAGATTTTCTTCTATTTATTATCTGGCTAGGTTGAGCGTAATCAAATAATGCAGATATTATTCTGGGGTGACAAGATGCCCAACTTCACCGCCCTCTCACGGCTAACCAATTACATTAAATTTGAAAATTTAAAACTGGCAGAATGTAAATTACTGAAATAACAGTGTCACTGTCACTTACATGTAATATTTTCAGCTGAAAGATTTATGAGATTCTGAATTCTAACCAAATTAAATTTCATGCCTACCACCTCAGGCCGGTCCTATTCAAAAACAGCCTCTGTTTTTCTATGTTGTCAAATTTACTCGCCAAGTCCTAACTCTAGGGCCCTAGACTACACCAATCATCCATCTTGCATCACTTCATCAGATTATGTGTATACCTCATCAGATTATGCGTATGCCTCATTCGAATTTACCTATAACATCCCAATAGTTACCGAACTCCTAGGTAGGTATTTAAACCATAAATCCTCGTTTGATAAATTAATATACGCTATCCTTGCGGGTGATCACCAGATCCCCGGATCCCCACTTGGGAACTAGCAGGATCCAGTTATGTTTGGATGGTCCACTTAGTCGCCCGTACGCGTCCTCACAAAGAGATCACATCTCTACCAGTAACATACAGACCACAAAATATACATTTACAAACATAGCCCTCTTCCGTCTACGATCCCCTATTAATCCCTGCAAGTAGGTGGCGCCATCTAAACAAACAGCGACCCGTACTTCCGGGAGAATCTAGGAGCCGGTCAAAGCCCGAGATTAACGCCTCGTTGCTTCAGATTGGTCGAATCATACCGACTTTCGAGCCCCTATATGATCCTGTATACATAGTTCAATTTCCATATATGCATAGCTTCCCCATCCCACTCCAATTGAAAATTTCCAATTCACAATCCTTTCTTCTACCTCACAAATCGTATCCCTCCCTAACGGACACTCCAAAAATGGCCGCTATTACTCTCGAGCCTCAAGACCACAAGGGAGATGCAGATTTCAAGCAAGCGCTTCATGGCAAGACAGGCCAGGATCAAAACTCATTCATGAATATCATGCGCAAGAACAAGGATGCTCAAAAGATCGCTGTGGACGAATACTTCAAGCACTGGGATAACAAAGGTGCCGATGACGAGACTTCCAAAACCCGCGAAACCAGACGCAAGGAATACGCAACCCTCACCCGACACTACTACAACCTCGCGACCGATTTTTACGAGTATGGTTGGGCGCAGAGTTTCCACTTTTGTCGATTCAGCAAGAGCGAGGCATTTAAGCAGGCATTGGCTCGACACGAACATTACCTTGCGCTGAAGATGGGTATTCAGGAGGGTCAACGGGTTCTTGACGTTGGTTGTGGTGTTGGTGGTCCTGCGAGGGAAATTGCCAAGTTCACCGGGTGTAATGTCCTCGGCCTTAATAACAACGACTACCAAGTTGAGCGTGGTACTCTGTACGCACAGAAGGAAGATCTCAGTGATCAGGTCAGCTTTACCAAGGGCGACTTTATGCAAATGACTTTCCCCGATAACAGTTTTGACGCTGTCTACGCAATCGAAGCTACCGTGCATGCTCCGAGTCTGGAAGGAATCTACTCCGAGATTTTCCGGGTCCTCAAGCCTGGAGGGGTCTTTGGTGTTTACGAGTGGTTGATGACTGAGAACTACGACAACGATGACCTCCGTCACCGTGCGATTCGTCTTGGTATCGAGCAAGGGAATGGAATTAGCAATATGGAGAAAATATCTGTCGCTCTAGACGCGATGAAGAAGGCTGGGTTCGTGCTTGAGGTTAGTGAGGATCTTGCCGATCGCAACGATGAGCTTCCTTGGTACTGGCCTCTCAGTGGTGATTTGAGATACACGCAGAGCCTTTGGGACTTGCCGACCCTGATCCGCATGACCCATGTTGGCCGTGGACTGGCGCATGGCATTGTTGGTGCACTTGAGATGGTTGGCGTTGCGCCAAAGGGATCACGGAAGACTGCTGATTCGCTTGCTGAGGGCGCAGACTGTCTTGTTGCGGGTGGAAAGGAGAAGCTATTCACGCCTATGTATCTGATGGTTGGTCGTAAGCCAGAGGCTTGACCTGTCTTTTCTGAAAAAGAATAGCTCTGCCCAGGTGGAGCTTCTGTGTTGTTCTTTTTCCTATTTACACGAGCTTCTAAATGTTTCTTGCGGTACAGAATCAGTACAAGGTTTATGAATGCTATGTATTGTAGTGCGGAGCCCTGCCCTCACACATTAGTATGCTGTCACTACATGTTTCAGGTGCTTTTCTCATGTAATGCGCTGAGATTGTACTATGAGATTGCCAGCCCTTAGGGTCTCAGAATAAAAAACTTCTTCACATCTCAATCAGTACCCCTCGATATCACCATTCCTCGTCGATTTCCGCAAATCCTCCTGCGCCATGAGGTCAAACTATTTCAAATTTCTTCTCGGTCAAGATCTCTTCTGCGACCTTTGTATAGTCTGGGTCCTGAGTAAGTAGTGGTACTGGTTCACTGCCATAAAAACGTTGAGCGATAGTAAGAGCCATCGAATGCTAGACTGTATAGCCCTCACATCTTTTATATCCAAGGTTTCATCCTAAGGGGCGGAGCGGCAAAAGTCACCAAGCCCGAAGTAAAGAACTTTCTTCACGACGTTTGTACCAAGTAAATCTTGAACTAAGGCTACTAAGTCCTTATAGGTCGTGCTATTCTACCACAATAGTTCGTACTTTATAGCGCTTACTGATCGTTGAACTAATATGACTTGATACCAAAAGCTCACTGTGCGGAGCAAGTGGTAAAATCAGTGTATTTTGCAAGAAGTAGCAAGCTGTCTATATAACCCCTGAATGCTTACCAAGATGCATATAATGGGAACGGTAAAGATAGACTTCAAGGTGAAGGGTACTGAGAGTCTGCGTGTGGCGGACATATCGGTTTTGCCGGTGGTAGTAAGTGCGTATATGTCCGTTATGCCGGTGTCCATGTGCTGACAATTCATGCGCTTACAAACCTTCTAAGGTTGGATTTCATATGCTGACAGATACACTAGCTGACATAATGCATACGTCAGATCCATAACTAGCTAGCTAATTCTTGGCATGCGGGGCTCGGGAACTAGCCTTGGAACCAGCGGAACAACCAACCTTGGCATCCCAAACCAATCAAGGTGCAGAATCGTTGTAGTGTGGGTCTTCTTCACGAGTGACAACATAACAGGCGTTACCATAGTTAACTAGTGCTATACCAGGTACCTAGGTAGATAATGAACTTTTACCAAGGCATTGCTAGGTCTTCGGATGTCTAGAGTCTCGACCAATTCTTCGGCCTTCAACATTGGTAGGTTACTGCGGGATTTTACTAGGGTGGCCGGTTTCGACCTGATTATTGTTAGGTTCTAGCGAGTTCTAGCATACCTAGAAAATCTGCTTATATATCCCGGAGTTTACTACATATCCCCGAGCTTTAGCGCGCTTATTGAGTCTTTGTCATTTACCTATAATCAAATTCAAGATGTATAGAGCTAAATATTGAAGTTATAAAAGCTTCCTCGATTCCCCGACAATCTGGACTATATCTTCAATTCAGACTTTATTACCTCATTACTCTGTCTCAAGTCATTCAATTATCTCTCTTCTCAAAGCAAATTTATCAATCCTTCGCCATGTCCAAGGTCATTACTATTTTTGGCGCCACCGGTAACCAGGGTGGTTCGGTCATCGACGCCATTCTCGGCGATCCTAACCTCTCCAAGGAATTCAAGGTCCGGGGCATCACCCGTGACACCACCAAGAAAACTGCACAGGACCTTGTCAAGCGCGGTGTCGATGTTGTCTCGGTAAGCTTACATCTTTATATTTATATTCTTTTACACTTTACATTTTGTTATTATGCCCGTCCTCTTAACAGAATCATGGAATCATCATGGGTAGAGACTAACATTCCAACAGGCTGATATGGACTCCGTCGACTCTCTCACCGCGGCGCTGAAGGGATCACACACTGTCTTCCTCGTCACCAACTACTGGGAGACCATGAACGCCGACGTCGAGTACTCCCATGGCAAGAATGTCACCGATATCGCCAAGGCCGTAGGTGTTTCCCACCTGATCTTCTCATCTCTCCACCATGTCACCGAGGAGACCAAGGGCCGTCTCGCCAATGTTCCTCACTTCGATAGCAAGGCCAATATCGAGAAGTACATTCGTGCTTCCGGCGTTGGATGCAGCTTTGTCCTTCCTGGTTACTACATGAGCAACTTCACCCAGATGCTCGTCCGTGCCGAGGATGGCTCGTACCAGCTCTTCTACCCCGTTGGAAAGCAGGCTAAGTTCCCTCTCTTCGATGCTGCCCAGGATACAGGTAAGACCTCTTGACCTTGCCTAAGTTTTGATATACATTAACTCACATATCCCCTAGGTCTCTTTGTGAGAGCTGCTCTCAAGCACGGCGATTAGCTGAAGAACAAGCAGATTTTGGCCGCTACCGAGTACTGCACTCCCGATGAGATCGTGGACACCTTCTCCAAGGTCACTGGCAAGAAGGCCGTCTTTATTCAAGTCTCTCCCGAGCAATACAAGGCCTCCCTGCCTGATAATATGGCCAACGAGGTCCTCGACAACCACCTGTTTGTGGAAGAGCCTGGCTACTACCTCGGAGAGCCCCTCGAGCCCAGTCTGAGCCTCGTCGATACCAAGCCTACTTCCTGGGAGGAGTTTTTGCAGAAGAACATATCCGCTTGGAAATAGGTTACTTGGAATGAGAGTAGTCGATTTAAATAAGAATGATTACTTGAAATGAGAGTTTGGTATTGATTAGTATATATTTATCGTTTTAAATGAAACCCTTCGATATCGAATTTGCTCAAGACTGGTTGCCATACGAACCGAACCACTTGCACGCTCACGCCGTCTGATTAGGTCCGTATAGAATTCTCTCTATATAAAAGTGGGTCACTACGGGCCGCGATTGACGACGTGGTTCAGGTAAAAGCTTCGGAAAAGAGATTTACTAGTGGTCCAGCTAGCAAAAGAAAAGGCTCATAACCTCATGCAGAATCTACGTGATGAATCAAGATAGAGAAACAATGCAGATAGATTTGCAAGGGCAGAAGTGGACAGGAAGGGAGAAGAGAGAAGGAGAGAGGGAGAGGACTATCGACTACATAGATGTGGATCTGTCCCATATGGGTCCACGTGCCTCAGACACCCTGGCACCCAACAAAAGGGCTCTCATACTTCTTCTTCTTCTTCTTCTTCTTCTTCATCTTTCTCATCCCTCCCCACCCTTCCAGGTTTTTTTCAAGTCTTTACACTATTCATCTTCTGCTACAATCTTCACTCTGGTTTATCACTTCACTTTCAGTCGTCATCTTCAGTCATAGACCCCTCGTTGCCGTCTCTAGGGCCTTCAAACCTTCCTACACCCCCGCTGTCTCCTCGAAAACGAGGCTGCCACCTTCGTGAGTCCGATGATGCAGAAGGCGACATGAGTTTTGAGCGGTACTTGCAGCGCGTCGAAGTTCACCGATCGACCAGTATCCCCAGTCGGTTGCCTTCACCGAAACTAGAGGTTCTTCCTTCTCTTAAGAAAGTACTTAGACCACTCTACTCTGAAGTCAGTTCTATACTAAACCAATACAATCTACCGGGGAAGATGATGTATCGGTGTTAGAAGATGACCAAGCCGGGGTATCCCCGTGGTGACGTCCCCGTCGATATTTTTAGTGTCCTCCTTGATACCTCGACTCCAAACATCTCTCTTCTTGGCCCCATCAAAGACGAGATCTTAAGCCTCTTCCGCCGACATAAGGTCAGAGTGCATGTCGAAATTTCGAACGACAAGCTCTGCCACCAGCCGGCATTTTTCTCTATCGCCTTAAACCACCCTCTTGTCAAAGCATACGACCGAGTCATGCAGAATCTTGTCGCCATCCTGAAGCAGACACTTGGTTCTAACTTCAATATGCTATACCCCTTCAAAGTTGGTCCGAGTGAAGCTAAGGCGCAGCCGACTATTGTGGTATTTGTGGAGCCAAGGACGATTACAAGCTGGTTTGAGCTGCGACTTCAAGTTATGTCTCGACTACGGGCGACTAAATATGCCACCCGACACGTAACTCTCACATGGGTTATTACCTCGCCGCCTAGTTCATTACCGGCTTCTTGAGGCATTTACTAATTTTAACTTCTCTTTTATTTCTGTCCTATATACTTTATAGATTCAATTCAGATTCAATTCAGATTCACTTTAGGTTCACTTTAGTTCAGTTCAGATTCAATTCGGGTTCAGTTCAGATTAAGATAGTAAGATAGCAAGAAATCAAGAGTTAAGACTTAGGAGTTAGGAGTATAAAGAGCCGGGTTTTAAATAATTAATAGTTATAGTATTCATTTGTATAGTTAACTATAGATTCAACATCGTACGTACTTGTGAAGTGAGAGTTGTTGAACAATCTCCCATGCATGCATGCATGTTGTTTGCTGCAGACTGAGCCTTTTGCTAAACCATCTGAACATTGCTCAATTGTAGCAAACAAATAGCAAATAGCAAATAATATACAAACCCCTGCATGATTAGTTTTACCAATTAACAATTCTTCTCCTGCTTTCTCCCACTCTCAGTAGTAATCTAAACCCATAGATTACTCAACAAGAGTGGATCTAAATTATTGCCTGGCAATACGAACCAGGCATCACCAGATATTTGCTATGTGCGCCGCAGAACATACTCGCTGGCGGAATCAGCATATCATGAGACGATCGCAGTCAATTCCTAGCACCCCTCGCGCCCCCGTCACCCCTCGAGCCGGGACTAGGGCAACCCTCTCCTTACCAGTCAGATCTCGCATACGATACATAGAACGCCCGGCGAAGCAAGTACGACCATTCCGCCAGAGAGATCGACCGAGCCATACTCCAAATGAGAGAGTTATGTGTCGGGTGACGATTCCATCTTCAGTCAACTGACTCTTACCCCAACATCATGCCGCCGCGAACACCTCCCCTCACACAGCCAGATTTGCCAAACCGGCAGCAAGTAATTGCCGAGGATAACAGTACATAGTAAGGATCCCTTCCAGGTACATTCAGTTCAACGACTAACAATGATACAAGCTGTCCACTAGAGGAATCCAGTCATCACACCATTAGGGCCCCGAGCCAAATTCCCGCCGGGGAGGCCGGGGGAGAAGATAAGAATCCCGGTCCCTAGGGGGAATATGCAATGACGGTGCCATGGAAGGTGGTGAGCAACGCCAGGAAACTCAAGACACGAGCAATTGCCACACTAAAGCAAGCCACTGCTGTGAGGGAGCCTCTCCAGAGGTCCACGACACACTACACCGGAAAACGCCTGGACGAATGCATCGGCAGGAAAGCTGCAAATGTCGAATCAATCTTAATTCAGATTGTGGGAGAAGTATCACAACAAGAATGCACAAACTGTCTCAAAAATGATGGACCTTGGGCAAAGTGTGTCCGTTGTGATTTCTTCCAGTTGACCCTTGTTCCTGAGACCCACCGTAACACTCCGCGCTAAGAATCTTTAACGCCTTATATAAGTCTATCCTAAAAGATTGAGGTAGTCAGAAAACGTTCCATCAAAAAGAGTAGTGATATAGTCGCCTTTGATCCTTCGCTAGCCATATTATCGAGAACCGACCGTAACCAAGCTTTCTAAGGACCTCATAGCGACAATAGGCAAACAGAATGGAATCCGCCGAGTCGGTAAAGGTTGCGGTCTTCCTCAGAACGGTGACTAGCCATCGCCAAGTAATCGGGGAGGGTGGATATCTGAAAACCAGGTGTCGAGGGTATTAGGTTGTGCCGAAGACGTTGGCTGACTGTCTTGAGCATCAAAATGGTCTGTAGCATGCCAAGAGATAAATGTCTCAGAGCCTACGGTGATATCCAATGACATTTCACCGTAGCCTGTAGGGTGGCCTAAGCGGTCAATGCGCTCGTGCGAAGGGATCCTACATCACCCCGAGATAAAAATCGCACTATCTTGAAAGCTATCATCGAAGTTAATCATGAATAGCGGTGATGATCTACTACGTCCTCAAGAATTAGCCTCGTTTCAAGTTTCAGCCCTTTCTCAGTCGACATGGCAGGCGTTACTCCCTTCTGCTGGTTCTTCGACTCACTTGCCATACCGCTGTAGTAGCATCAAATCGCTATTGAACCAAACGCCATCAATTCCGGAAACCACCCAAGTCATCGAAGGAGTTGAGAAGGATTCGATCTTTCTCGAAGGTTATGCGACTTGGACAGTCTCGCCGCCTAATAAACGATTGAATCACAACTGCGACTTGCCTTCGATCAAAAAGACGTCGCCGCGGAAGGTTTATATTGGAGAGTCTTGCCCAGCAGTTTGCAACTTATCAAATGTCTACTTGTCTGGATGGCCAGGGCTTCAACAGCTGACAAATTCGGCTGGTAATTACCTCGCTATGTTCGTGCTTGGCTGGTCATATATTCTTTCTGTACGATTGATAGAACTCCGGCGAAGAACAACCGAAGACAGGGTTGTCTATACCGACGATATGGCACAATGGAATCCGGCTCATGATGCAAATTCTGGTGACTATTTTGAGTTAGATATTGGGGGCGATAGTGTCGCTGAGGTGAGATGGTGGGCTGCAATTCTCGCAGGTGGACGTGGCTGGCAGGCCACCCTTACTCGAGGAAGTGAAGCTTACTTCCCACCGTGGGAATGCCATTTGAATAGTGATGCTTTTAGGGTATGTCATTATGCAGAGTTGCTTTCTTCTCTTCCCACGCTTGAACCCCCGTCTTCGGCAATTGCACGAGAGTATCTTCATAACTTCGCCCGACGTCACGATGCTTTCGATCAACTTATTTGTGCGCTGGCTGCTACCCTGACATTGCCAATGCATAATCGATTTGGAGCTACCATTGTTTTGCCTAGGCCTGTGCAGAGGGCCGGCTCGCACCAGCAAACGGAAATAATTTTTGCCGATCAAATCCCTACATTTGATGAGATTCCTCGGTATATGGCATTTTCGGGTACGTCAGGTCTGATTGCCTCGTGTCTATTTGGAGGGCTCTGGGAGCCGGGTATTCCATGCAATTTGGCTAGCCAATGGCTCGGTCCTACCATGAAAGAAATTACTCCAGCTCTTTTCCAAACGAATGAATCCTTTCCTGTTCTATGGGCCCTATCTGAACGACGCCCAAATCTAGCCTCACTATGGCTAGGCGCCACAATCACGGGCCTTTTACCCCAAATAATTCGAGTTTCTACGTCTTTCCTACCAACAATTTACCTTGAAGGGGTTACTTGGACGCAATCTCCTCAATCCTTCATGGATCCTCCTAACCATCGCCTTGTTAAATCCCACACAAAAGGTGAGAAGGTCGTGATATCTAGAGAAGATGAGTTCCGTCTCTTATTTTTGACGGATACCTTATCGGAAACATATGGAGTTCCACCACTTTGCCCTTATTCACCATTTGGCGAGGTTGATGTCCAGCATACTTCCCTTCAAGTCAGACTTCATCTCGCTTGCGACCATAGGCTAGTATATCGTTCTTGGGAATGGCAATGCCAGAAAGGGGAGACGCTAAGCCATTTTGGAGCCCCAAACAATTCACAATCGTTCAAAAGGCTGTTTAAGCATATTTCACTTCCATCAGTCTGGATTGTCATTGGAATAGCTTACGGAAGCATGTTCAACCAAAATCTTTGGAAATCCAATTTGACTCATACGGTAAGCAGAAAGTTACTTCACCTTCTTGTTCAAAGTGCGTGTTCTAGCTAACACGGGAAATTTAGCAACACAGCAGTATTGCCTTTCTAGGTAGCCTTGTAACAACATGTGTTCTACCGAGGTCTTACAAGGTTGTTGCGTATAAGCACATTCTGAATCTTCGCGCCTGGGCGACAAGGCCCATCTCGGTCTTTATCTCGAAGATACGTCCACATGCAATACACTCAAAGGAAGGAAAGAGTTTGAGTGATCGGCTTTCTAGGATTGCTACGCGTAACTTGTTCTCATGGACGCTTTTTACAGAAGGAATTCGAACGGAAGAAAAACCACTCTGGAAACACGACTGGTTGGAAATGTTGGTTGAAAGGGATCTCAGAGTTGAACCGAGTGAATCCAGCTCATCAGGGACGGAAGGCGAAACAAAAGACCAAGACATTGAGTACATTGAGCAGTGGCTAGAAGATGTCTGTGTTCATGCAACATCAGATTGCTAGTGTTCGTAGAATAAATAAGAAGGTCTTGATAAAGTTGTGGATGTAAAACCGACCTCTCACTATCTCTGTATTATGATTCAGTGCGTCCCATCCTCCCTTATGCAGCCATATGGTTCGGTTCCTTGAAAGCAAAAAAAGGTTAATTACGTATAACTTTTCAGTCGGGACTCGGAAGGAGCAAACGTACCTTTTGCTATACGGGCCGAATGCTCGGGTGTAGAATATTCAGGTGGGTGAGTATCCGCCCTAAGTGCCATAAATAGAGGAGCCGCCCATAACCAAATCATGGGCACTAGATGACAATGGTCATAGATATGTTGTTGTTTTTGTTTTTGTTTTAAGTGAGTCTATTTCCGACAGATATTCCGGACCCATCGCGGTCCGGGCCGTTTCTACCCCCGGTTGTATGTGATGGAGTTGGAAGGCGGTCTGGTAAAGGCGGTATAGTGGGGTATTCATAAAGAGTACCCACTTCCTGCGAGATATTCTCTCCAAAAGCATCATCATCCAATGAACATCAGTTAGGCCTATGGGCCCCTTTTATTATTTCGTCCTCACACTATTCAATATATGCCCGTTTATACTCCAAACATCTACATACGACCATAGGGTGTGGAAAATAGGGCTTCCCGTCCGCTCAGCCGTACTCAAGCCACACGCCGGTGAGTTAGTAGTTGGGTGGGTGACCACCAGCGAATCCTCACTGTTGTATGTTTTTGTTTTGTTTTGTTTTGGTTTATTCTTCGAGGGAAGAAGAAGACCCCTTCTTAATAAGGGTAGGTAGGTAGGAACTCCTGGGGCCGTATCCTCAACTTGCCAACAACTGTTATGTTCTTTGACACGTCGCCCATCCAACCATGCCTTTCTCCCTTCCTTATTATCGGGATGCTGGTCAATTACCAGGGCCTCTTCCCGATCAATGAGATTGAACGGGCAACGCAAACCCTCCCCAAGAGATCAGACTATGGTGGGCGCATGGTCGTAATCAGAGACAAATACGTTGTGAAATATGGCCCGCTTGTGACCGAAAATGAGGGATATACTCTAATTTTTGTTGAAAAACGACTCAGTATCGCAGTACCACGACTCTACGCCATGTACCGCGATGGGGACATCCTGTATATCGTCATGGAATACATCCCCAACATTCCTCTAGGGATGGCGTGGTCTTCGCTCACCGAGGCAAATAAAATTTGATTGTTGGACAATTGCGATATGTCTTTGATCAGATGAGAGCGCTACCATCGCCCGGATTTTATGGTAGCGTCAACGGAGGACCCGTCCCCCATAGGTATTTTTTTTTTTCTCGTGAAAAGGACGCTGCTGTTACCGGCCCTTTCCAGACGGAAGAAGAATTTGGAAAAGCCATTGCACTTCGCTCAAAAACTATATGGAGCGAATCAAATCACCATAGCTTTCTCTCCGACTATCTTGCTCGCCACCTCCCATCGGCGCTTCGCAATCATCCACCTATATTCACCCACGGAGATCTCCCTAGAGAGAATGTTCTTGTACGAAAGGTCGTTAATTCTGTCACAAATGAAGAAGAGTATGAAGTAGCTGCCCTTGTCGACTGGGAAGCGGCTGGATGGTATCCTTCGTACTGGGAATACTCTCATATCTTCCCCCTCCTGCAGTGGGTTGACGACTGGCCAGTATAGTATGTTGAGAAGATTCTTAATCCATTGTCGCTGGAAGGTGCGATGATGCGGGTTGTCTTTAGTGATCTTGAGTTTTAGAGCGAGATAACACCATGTTGACCCCGGTGTCTGTTGGTCACAACGAAATGTTGGATTGGTGTGTTTTGATCTTAATCAAGATGTGATTCGCAATGCCGCACCCAGCTTTCTTGGTAGGGAGGAGGCTCAAAGGGAGACAGACCATTGGCTGAAAGGCAAGCGCATGGATATCTACTTCCAAAGTTAAGGATTATGCTGCTCTGGAATTCCCATCCACAAATCTTAACCCATCACTACGCCAAATATGCTTCGTATGTCCCCTTTTTACCTACCAAAAAGTCCACGTCTTCCCAATGCAAGTTAATTAGCCCGACTGATTTTAAGCCGTCTCCGTTGATCATATTATGATGATATTTTTTTCCAAACATGTACGGGCCTAGCAAACCCCTCCTCGTCCCTCTCAACTTGCAGTATCCTCTCAAATCCCTGTGCCTTCAACTCATCCTCAAACGGCGGCCTGATCTGGATCGTCTTATACGTCTCTCTCAATTCTTTATTCTTCTTCGAAGCTCTTGCATAATTGCTCATAGGCTGCGGCTCCACGACGAGATAACCCCCTCATTCAGTATGCTGTGTATGTGCGCAAATAGCGTCAACATCCCGGGGTCCCCGTTGTTGAGATGGATCCACTTGGTCACAGAAAGCAGCAAGACAACGTCGAACTTGCCGAGCGCAGTACCAGTGTACGCGGACGCATCCACGAAGTCAAAGTGCTCAAATGTGCACGGTCCGTCCGGGTACGCCGCCTTCGCCTGCTCGACCAGCCACGGGTCGATATCGACGCCGACTGCGGCAGCTGCGCCACAGTGCGCTATCGCCTCGTGGGTCAATTTGCCCGCGTTGCAGCCTAGGTCTATGACTCGCGCGTTGCGGAGGATATCTGATGGGAGAATGGAAAGGCGCTCGTCTGGAACGGTGGGAGCCCGGAATTTGGCGTAATATTGGTGGTAGTTGCCATGGCGCGCGGCGAGGTGTGTAGCTTTGAAGCGCTCTGCTTTCGAGAGTTCTGTTGCGGGGGGTTGGTCATGGCATGGTTCTGCCATACTTGGAGATAGTGCGCGGAGGGAGGCACGTGTTGGTGATGATATTTGATTATGTCAAGAAAAGAGTGGAAGGATGTGAATGATGTGACCAAGGGTAAGTTTTAGTACACTAGATAGGCCGTATGTTAGGAGTTATAAAGTCTTGAAATTTTGTGATGCCAAAATTTTGCATCTATCCCATTGGTCATGTGATAGGTTATAAGTGGGCCAGGAAGTTATACGATCTGAGTCTTGTCCAGGTGGTCTAGCCGAAGGAGGCATAGTGTGTCCATTGATTAGATCCGTTCAGACTTAGGAAGGAAACAATATTTCCCGAAGTACAATGGTGAAAGGGTGTGAAAGAGAGTGAAGGAAGCTTAGGAACTCGACCCTTTGGGGCTATCCACAATATGACGTCAACTCGGTACTTGCTGTTTGTTTTTCGTCCCCCGCGTCTTCGTTGTTCCTAGGTACAACCCCCAACATCCATAGGCCGAACTCAAGATGCCATTCAGACAGGCCCTCCAGGGAATTATCGATAAAGCAGACAAGGCTTGGGATGAATTAACCCATCAAACCCCTCAGCCGGTACCGTCACACAACAACCCTCCCCCACCGCCTATTCCAACCTCTAGCAAACCACCACTAGCTTATCAGGAACAGTACTCGCAACCCCAGATCTACTGGCAGCCCAATCTACATCCTGAAGCACCCGTGTCCTCCAACTTTTACCACGAACAGGGACAACATGGATGGGGCAACAACGAGGCGCAGAATTATATCGACAGCCCACAAAACTCATTCCATTCCAGCCAGGGCGATGCATTGATCGTGCGCGCTCTGATCAACCACGGACATCCCGACCCTGCCCAGAAGTTCACCAGTGCCAGACTGTCGAGTCACCAGACCCTCGACCGACCACGGGGCTGTCTGTCGGCTAGAGTTACGGCGCCGGTGGCCCGAGGTATCTGGCCTGCCTTTTGGCTGCTGCCTAAAGACCCCTTCAAGTGGCCCGAGGATGGCGAAATCGACATTATGGAAGCGTGGAACGGCGATGCTGTCAACCACACTTGTCTTCATTGGGGCCACTTCAACGGCGAGGACTGGAACAAGCATCGTGTTCTCGAAACCCCCATCCCCAACATTAGCTCGCCGGTGGGGGTGAGGTACGATTTTATCTGGGACGAGGATGAAACAACTGGCGGGGGGCGCTTGGTCTGGTTGATTGATGGTACACCCATCATGAGGGCCGAGAAGCCGCCTGGTACAAGGAAGATGAGTGAGTTCAGAATCCTCATCAACATCGCTGTTGGAGGAAATGTCTGTCAGGGAAATATGCCCAGCGATGGATGCTACGAGACAGTGGTTCGTGAGTTGGCCATGTGGGATGCGCCGCCTGGGGGTTGGAATGAGCTCGATAGAGCTTGGGGGTACTCCAAAGATGGCAATACTATGTAATGCAAGGAAGGGAATTTACATTGCAAAGTAAATCAACTATACTCGCATCCTACTTTCTACAGAAGGTATCTCTGGCTAGGCCAGTGAGATAATTCTCTAGGCTCAAGCTTAGCATGGGATTATACCAGTCTTTTTCGGTCTCTTTTTTTATATTCTTTGGCTTCGTATCTAACCTAACCTTACAAATGACTTCTGAAAAAGAAAAGAGGAGATATTCATTCTCTATTATCGAGTGAGCAAGCCAAGTCCAGTGAGCTATTTTTGCCATTGATCCCTAGCTTATGCGTATGGTTTTGTCCTTTTGTTGGGATGGGTGTCACCTGACTCTGTGTGACAGGACTTGTAGTCTCCTCTCCCTCTTCTTCTTTTCCCCTTCTCCCTTAGCAGTGAGCAGTGAGCACTACGGAATACAGTTGCATTGTTCTCTCTCTCTCTCTCTTCTCCTGACTTCCCATCACCTTTGCGGTAGTGGCCCGTATCAAACACAAAAGAATGGTCCCCGAGTACCTCCACAATGACTATGAATGATGTGGACTGAATATGAAAAGAATTGGCGAACAATGGCTTTGTTGACCCAAAAGAAAGAGGCAAATCATTTCCCACATTCTTCTTGTCTTGATCTCGGCATGAATTTGGATGAGATGATGCCAAACGAACAGCTCCAGTTTAAATTAAGTTGAGAAGGGATCGTCGCCGAAACCGATTGGGGGCCAAAACACACGTGAACAAAATCAGATTCCACTTGAAGAGAATCTCTCACATTGATAGCCAAGATAAATCCTCATCTTCGATGTTTTTCAATGTTTTCGATGGGGGAGAATATGAGCAGAGGCTGACCATTCTACTCTCTCCCCATCACAAACCACCGCGCGATGTCTTCCTGTCATTCGAATTGCTCGGAGCCACCACCCCCCTTGTCTCCCGACAATGATATCACTGGGCCTGGAGTTCGTCCCCCTAATAACTAGCGTGTCAAGGTTATGATTCTCACAAAATCAGGTTATTACCAACTACATTGCATCTGCAGGAATCACCGTATTAATAATTCTGCTTTACTTCTTTTTGGTTTTTGACCCCGTCCGTGATCCATTCGAGAAGGATGAAAAGGCCCCAGATGACCCGCCATTCCGTCCCAATGCGATTGATCTACTAATCACGCGCAAGGTACGGGGTTGGGGTCAGAGGCGTATGAGCAAATGCCTCAAGAACAGACTAGAGAAATCATTGGTCAACGTACTGTTCTTACAACTCATATATTCGATGCTTAGCACGAGATTATCGCTAATTCATATCAGTGTGTCGTCGCAATGGGCGACCTTCAACTCGTCACAGGATTCTCAATCCTTGTCAGCGGTGCTGTTCAGCTAAGCTGCGGCCTCACTGTCTATGAATGGCAAATTGCTGTCTATCTAGCATGGTTCTCTTGTTTGACTCACCTGTCTTGTCTGATGGTCCTGCGAAGCTACCTTTACGTCCATACCTTTGGACGAACCTGGAGGCTGGTCGCGATGGGTTTACTTGCCATACTGCTGATAGTCGGGCTACTCCCCACAGCTAATTATGGCGATCTTTACAATTCACGCCCTCGTTCTTCAGACTATGCCAAGTGCTATTTGAAAATCCGCTCCTCCCCGGGTATAGCACTTTACTCAATGATCCTTTCGGTCTTGACTATAGCCATTGGGTTCATTTCTCGCGTGATGAAGTTACACAAAATGCTTTCCGTCACGCTTTGGGGAGGGCTCAGAATCCGGGCCAGTCTTCGGGCTCGAGCCATACTCCATGGCCTCTACAAGTGGTGTATAGCAGGCGGCGCCGTGCAAGGCTTACGCTTCTCTCTGGTATATCGACCTCTCTTTGCCGTCTTCCTTGTAGCACGTTTTACGTTAGACGCATGGGTCTCCATGTTTGTAGAGGTATGTTCACGTGTTATTGTTGGCCTCGCCATTATTAATTTGATCCGAACAGGCGCTGTGGCTGTTCATTGCTTTTTTCTGGGGTGTTCTCCGTCTTATGCTCGCCCTTAATGACACTCCTAGGTCTCAGGATTTGTGGACAACGACCGCAGGGCACAACAAAGGTGATTGGACTTTCGGACAAGTTGTATCGTTGGTGTTGCTGGTGGCACCGCTCATGAACCTATTGGATTACTTCGACCAAAGTATGTCTCTCTCTCTCCACACTATAGTGCCTTGAAGTGGGGAATTAACTTCCCTTTTATAATAGATCCTGCCACTGGTGCCCGAACATCGATACCTAGGAATTTTCTCGAGCCCCACGAGCCTATGAGACGTTCTTCCAGTCCTGTTCCGCCTTTATTCATGGAGGAAGTTCCAGATCCCAAAAGCCTTGATGGGAACTGGTCTAACCATCGCGAGACTCTTGGAATGGCGGTTATCTACAGTCTGATCTCAATGATGGCTTTCGTCTTGCAGCTTTTTTTGCCCTCTATAAACAAACCCCTGCTCGAGATATTGATCAGTCTAGATTGGGGTATTAAGGTGATTTTTGCGTTGACGGGCACCTATGGAGTGGTTCTGTTTTCTTTATTCCTTGAATCAAAGGTGAGCAAAGAGAGAAAGGGGACTCGACGCTGTCTGCAATTTTTGAATCTTGCGTTCTATGTGCTCAGCTTTAACTTCGGGGGTACGTATCCGCTTGGCGGAAGTCGGGTTATGTTGAATTTCATGCAACCTCTCGCCCTCGGCTTTTACGGGCTGTTGGGTATCATGTTTCGATGAGGTCTGAGTAACGGGCAGATGGTACCGAAGTCATAAATGACATGTATTAATAAACACAATCATACACCCTGGGCTATTGTCTCCCCTTTACTACTGGATTGGCCATTTTGGAAAGATATGTATAGGTCACCACAAGCATAAAGAACGCGAACCCATCAAAGTTGTCATTATGGCTCATTTTCCGGAATTCAAAAGTGAAGACCTCTCTCTAGAATTGACATTCATAGCTTCCTTCATTATGTCCTCGTTAAGTTAGGTACATTACTTGTAAAGGGACTTGACATAGTGATCCAGGTATTCCCTTTTGCTACCGACCCCAAAATCAACCGTCACGGGGGTATGTATCATGGTTGAAAGAAAGTGGTGGGGTGGTCTCAAGCCCACGATACTCGAGATCGAAATCATGAGATCCCATTCAGGACTTTCAGCGTGACAACCGACACTTCAGATACTGGTTATTGATTTAAGTGTTTCTGCATACTATGAGCTATTTTTTTTTTTTTCATGACATTTAGTGAGCGTGAAATAGATAGTAAACTCACATTTTCTGAAGCGCTGGGGCTACCAGCAGCCTCGACCTGGTTACCATCTTGGAGTGGAATAGTTGATTTTGGGTTCTTGTCGTCTTTGGGTCGACTGAACTCACGGTTAGCTGTGCAGCAGCACACTAAAGCCGCCAATCCTTCCAAAAGAAGTGCCACTGCGGAATCCATTTCTTAGGGCTTTAGGTGACAGTCATCCTCTTTCAATATAAGTTTGAATTGCAGAAAAACATGAAAATGAATAGTCCTGTCTAGATATATATATGTCTTGTGTTAGTATCAACTTAGTAGAAAATGGCCTGCAAGGCTCTGTTAGGACACCGGTATAGTATGATGACGTCAAATCAGGGGCAAACCAGTTTAGAACATCTTCCCGATTAGCACAGCCCTGTGGCAGTTCGATAAGACGTCAATGCTAAGTGGTTGTTCCCTACGTGGAGCCGGAATGCGGGTCCTTACCTTTTTTTTCAGTTGACCGATTTGACTATCTCACTACGATATACACTACATATATATATACAGTAACTATAAGTTATGGGGCTCAAGGGGACCTCGGGGCGTTCTTGGCAATTCTCTCCTGGTGATCATCCCGTGAATGGGCATAATTTGTTGGCAGCTTCTTAGGATTGAGGCTGTGAATATTGCGTTTCCACGATAAGCTTCACGATAAGCCGCTGCCAAGAACACATCTCAAATGAAATAATAATAATATAATAATTTATCTTCTACATAAATCACCAGAAACTCGAAGAACAAAAATCGAAGAGTAGTGTGCGGTTGTAAGCAGTGACAAATTATGTATAGCCATTCCACAAATTGACTTCATCATACTGAGACACCCCTTTGCTAGTCCCACTTTGAAGAACTTAGCACATTTATTAATTGGACGAGTCCGGACCCTTTTTATGTTAGCAAACTCGGTCATTTTTAATTAAGCTTGGCAGCGATACCCGGAACTTGCCCTTAGCAAATCTGGTTGGCTTTAGTTGGCCTTGGCATGGACACCCTTAGTGTATAATAAGGCCGGAACTCAGAACTTCCCTTCCTCACATCCTTCTTCCTTCGCAAAACCCCCAAATCCGATTGAAATCACTTGCGTCGACTACACCCTACCCTAAACCAGTTGCGAATATGGAAGAACTCCATGGCAGACTTTCTGTTTTTCCAGACTGGGGATATGTCATTTATCGCACGACCTACTCTGCCGAATCGAATGCTTTTTTCCCAGACATTATCAGGTTCATCGAGGCCTGTATTAAAAAGCAATTTGTGAGCGCTGGCGCTCATCGTCCTCGAAATTATGTCTCCGAAGATTGGCCTAAGTACCGATCGACGATTATGGAAGACCCTGCACAATTCCAAGGAGCATCTCTCGACGAAATTCGCACTCATTTTGAGACATGGGTGGATGCGCAAGGCATGCGAGATAAGTGGACCAAGTTTCGAATGTGCATTATTATTGATGAAGAATCTCTACAAACGCTGAAAAATGCAACTGTGGCGGAAACTGAAGCAGAGAATTTTCATGAGCCCTTAAGATATGTGAAGGTTCTTGAAGCATTCCCGGATATCGATCAGTATGATATTTTCCCCGGATGGATTAAATGCTGGACATATGCACTCTGGAGCCTCTGGGAGAATATGCAGGATGGCGACGATATGAAGATGCAACAGGCATTCATCGAAGAGGATGACCCGTGGCCGGATGTTTATATCGGGTGAATTGAGAGTGCTGATCAGTCACTTTGAAAATGATCTTTGCGGACGATCGTATGCTTCCGAGGAGCAACTAAAAAGGCCTAAGCGAAACTGCATTGGATTGCTATGGAGCGAGCGCTTATCTATTCCGGATGTTATGACATTCTTCGGATAGTTCAACGCCGTATGTTATGTCATTCATGCGATCTTCACTTTGTATATTCTGGCTTCTCACTTCCTATTTTTACAAGCAAAAAACCCCAGAGTATTGCTTTTGTGAGATGAAGTTGAGGCTTTATCGGCATGATCGATATTAGAAAGTAGCTCGAAATTAACAGATGGGAGCACAAACAACCCTATTATTATATTGACCAACTGAAGGACGACAGGGGTGAAACGGAGGTTGAAAATCCACGATTGTGGGTGTTAAGTTGGCTCTCTCGAGTCCTCGCTCATGTCTATTATTGATTCCAATGCAGTGTTGTCTAGGATACGGGAATACGATCTTTTTTTTTTCAAAGGCTAACACCGGCCGGAGTATACTACTAAACATAGACAGAAATTAGAAGCTCTAGGGTTGTGCTTTCATGTACGGCGAGATATGACGACTTACTGCCAGTCTACTTTCCTGCTATAGTCGTTACGTTCGTGTCTGGGGAATGTACAAGGGATCACATGGTGGATGACACACCCAGGACATATCCAAAACAGTGTGAAATCCGCCAAGGAAAGCAAGCCATCTAGGTTGATAAAACGATCGTTTATTACTCTGTACTCCGTACTGTAAAAATATACCAAGGTAATCAAAATCAGAAGAGCTTGGTCATTGTGGATTCGGGTTCTCCGGTTTAACCCGATAGATCGGAACGTAGCGGAGGTGGCCAGGGGTGAAATAAGTGCAGCAGAGACCCGGGGCATGCGAGGGTATATGGAAATGCACGGACCAATGCTATCAAGGATCTTAGGCCAGCCCATATAGCCAGATATGGATGGGAGTGATCAGCGATGGCAGTTCAGTTTGGCTCGTGTGCAGAGCCGCGGGACTACCGTCTGATAACGCCCCTCTTATGGTTCAGACCCACACCAAGCCGATGGTTGGTTCAAGGACGATGACTAAACATGCTGTTGTGAGGTTATACCTAGTTACCTACCTAGGTAGGTAATATGTAAACAACCTGCAGTCCGCAAATCATTTTTTTGTGGCGCTGTGATACTGACCCAATAACTGTTAGATATCAATCTATCCTCCCCGCTTGAGTCACCGCTCCATGTCAGAAAAGGCATTGAAGTCTTCGTACAACGATTTTACAGTGTCATAGCTGTCCTTCCAGCATTTGTTGATGATATCCTCGCAGAGCAGGTCATTTGTCGCTGGGAGATGCTCTGGCTCCGGCCAGCGATCGTGTTCAAAATAGTCATAGTAGAAGACCCGCCATGCTGCGATAGAATAAATGATACACCCGAGGCTGAGTATATCAACTCGTGACAATGGATCTTTCGCACAGATCTCTTCCATATCAGCATCCCAAGCATGTAGAGCGGCGTTAGCAAAGTCAACGACCTTCAAATTGCCATTCTCAACAAGTATATTGTTGGGCTTGACATCTTGGTGAAGAACTTTTCGAGAATAGATATACCAGAAAGTCTCCACTAGCGATTGAATCCATGCGGTGCGAATTGCTTCAGATGGCTCGTCATGGCTTTGAATATAGCGTTCCAGGGGTACAAAAGTATTTATGAAAATGCACGGGCCTGCGGGGAAGGTGCTCCCAGTTAGCCAGCCCAGCTGTACAGCGTACTTCAACCACCACTGCCCTCTTCAAAATGCTCAAAATGCCTAGTTTATGGAACGTTCAGTCACAATGTCATAGGCCACCAATCTTCCCCAAGTTGGAAACTACGTTGAACCGTACACCAGGTATATGGTGGTGTTGAACGCTTGGCACGGTTAATGGGACTTGCGCTAACCGGGCGAATATCGTTACTGTCTAAAGGAATGATGCGCGAGCCCAATGGCCTTTTTGATATTTACGCCCCTACCCGAGGCCCTTAAATCCGGTGGATTTCGCCCGGTCATTACTTGCCTTCGGGACATCTCTCTAGATATCCGGCCCCCAACACCTTTTGCATATCATCAACCCCCTGAAGAAATAGATTGACCCTCAAAAATGGGAAGTTCCGGGGTCCGTCGGCTGTGGGGCTACCCTCGATCCTTATTTTCTCGGCAACACTATTACGGAGTCGCGGACGACCACCAAGAGAGCCAGACCGAGCTCGGCGAAATCCGTGATCAACCATCCGCATTTTTATCTTCGTTGTCCTCGTTTTCGACAATCCCACAAAACAGCCACTCATCGATCGCAAAACCCGCTCCGGTTGCCGAGAACGATACCCTAGAACTACGTGTGAGCGAGGAAGAAACGACAGGAGCAACGAGAGCGGAGATCGTTGACCCGATACCACGCACGAGGAAGACAGCATGGATTGATGGTGTACACCACTGCGCCAGGGCTGGGGCATTTATACTCTTCCTGAACTTGATCCTTGTCTCCATTGCTGCTGGGCTGGCCAGTAGACACCCAGAGAGTGGTAGCTTCTCGACCGCAGTGTTTTATCAAGGGAGTTGCGGTTTGATAAAACGATGGAATATTATTCTGCATTTGATTATCAACGTTCTTAGCACGTGCATTCTTGCGGCAAGCAACTACTGCATGCAGACGCTTGTCGCCCCGACCCGGGAGGAGGTCGACACGTATCATGCCCAAGGGAAGTGGCTTGATATCGGGACTGCGAGTGTCAAGAACCTCTCCGCGATCGGGCGCGATCGACTAGCCTTGTGGGTGATATTGATGCTTACGGCAACGCCCTTCCATTTAATGTGTGTGCGGTAAAACGGGTGCATGAATCAGCGAACTCGCTGCTGAATATTTACTAATATCACTTATAGGTACAACTCCATAGTATTTGAATCTTTATCGACAAATTCATTTGTCGTAGTGGTTGGACCTAATGATTTGGATTCATCAAATATCTGGAATCTTACGACCCCGACATTGGATAAATGCTTCTCGCATCCTCAACCTATACAGTTGAGCTGGCATGACTTCGCCTCAGAGATCGCCCGCGGGAATTATGAGCGAATCTCTAATGAGCAATGTATCGAGACTTCCAAAATGACTCATACGGGAATTAGGGGGATCGTCGCGCTTGCAGACAACTTGGCCGTCAGCGATGGGGGGGACACATCCATTCTTCTGACAGGAATCGCCATTCTCGACATTGAAATCAATCCCTATCAAATGAATCCCTACTTGTACGACGGCAGCCCCCTGCCGGCCGCCCAATTCTTCAACCAAACTGCTAGCCTGGGTTCTGACATCACCTGCCAGTCTCATACGGTGTTCTATGGGTTGACAACTCCTGGCGTGAAGCGGTATAGTATTTCAGGATGCCTGGCGATCAAGGCTCCGGAGCACTGCCAATTGCTCTACAGCCCACCGATTTGCATTATTATCATGTTGACTGGTTGTGCAAAAGTAGCGGCAATGTTTCTCGCGGCGAGAATTGGTCGTAGTCGTTCGCCGCCCCTTTTGACGCTTGGTGATGCAGTGGCATCATTCTTAACCAGACCTGATCCCACCACGAAGGGCTTGTGCTGGCTCACAGCCGCCGATACTCATAACGACCACTGGAAGTATGCTAGTCGATCGGGTGGTTTTACAGAAATCCCGCAAAATAGCCCAGACGAGTCTATCACCTACAAACGTCTCTCAAAGCCGAAATTCTGGATGAGAGCAGCAAGCGGCTGGCGTTGGACGGCAACTCTTTTCATGTAGGTTTTCGAAAGCATACCTGGCCTGCCTAATCATCACTTGCGCGATGCTTACCAGACTAATGTAGGTGCCTTTCGTGCATAATAGTAGGAATAGTCCTCTTCAATATGGCTCTTACCGATAAGCCCCGCGAAATCTCTAGCTGGATTTCTGCAGACGATATCCAACAATGGTTCAGCTCTGATGTCGATGTTGGTAGTTACAGTATCATTGGAGGAAGAATCGAGTGGAGTATGCTGAGCGCTGTGGTGGTCGCCAACATCCCACAACTAGTCATCACCATCAGCTATTACTGCTACAATGCCGTGTTGACAAGCATTCTGGCCGCCGCCGAATACAGCTCATATGGAGTCAAACGAAAAGCACTTCGTGTCACCTGGCCCATCAAGGACAGTCAGCAGCGGTCGACTTACTGGTTGAGCGTTCCATATCGATATGTGGTGCCTATTTTGGGGCTTCATATGATTCTACACTGGCTCATCTCGCAGAGCATCTTTTATCTAGTGTTGATCCCATACCTACCGGACGACCAACCGAATCCTGAAAATATGATGAGCTCGCTCGGCTACTCATCCACGCCGATCTTTCTGTCCATTCTGGTTGGAGCCATCATGGTGCTTACATTGTTCGTGCTGGCGTTCCGCAAATTCAAGTCCGCGATGCCCCTGGCGGCGTCTTCTAGTGCTGCTATTAGTGCTGCGTGTCATCCGCCCAAGGATGAGGACTTGGACACGGCAGCTTTGGGTTTGTTAAAGTGGGGGCAGACGATCTCACCACCAGCTTGGATGATGGAAAGAGTTCACAGTATTGACGACCAGCATGGACACTGTAGCTTCACGTCGTTGGATACAGTGAGCCCCAGTTTGACGAAAATGTATGCATAGATAGAAATATAGAAAGTAGATAATGCACAGTTTTCGTGATACAATCATTTTATATTTTCTCCAGCAAAGAGGATCATGAAGTAAAAGTTCGGAAGTAATTATGTCTGCGAAATGGGTGATAAAGGCGAGAATCAGTATTGAGGAACGATAACATGAGAGAAACACATCTCTGCGCGAATCTATTTTTGAAATTGCAAGTTAATTGTAACTCCCAGCTCCATCTATTATACGAATTGTCCGGATAGAAGAATCTGCGGCAATTTCGAAAATCTCGTAGAGATGCGAAGCGATCTCGACCTTTCTCGTTTTCCATTTGTACCTTCGAGTTATGAACTAGAAAGGAATATGAAAACGGCAAGATTGGTGATCGAAGATCGCTGGGGATTTGGGATAGGGCAGCAAGAAAGTTCAAAGCATTTCCGAACTCGCCTAGTATATTCCCTGTAGCGAGAGTAGAATATCACTGATCGGACTGTCTTCTCTAAGTATTGTGTGCTCCCTCGTGGGGTCGTAGCTCGGTCGTTCTGCCCATCAAGTCCTTGTTGTTGTCGATTGGTTGATGAAGACATCTGTAAGGTGGTCTCCGAATGTCCCCACAGAAGACGTTAGAGACGGTACTAGTGACAAGATAGACAAGAAGTAATATCATATCAAAGTTTATTCGAACTCGATGAAATTAAGCGAATGGCCTGGAGGGATCATATATCCTGTTAGGGTGGATGTCACCTGACCCTGTGTGACAGGACTGTAGTCTCCTCTCCCTCTTCTTCTTTCCCCCTTCTTCCTTAGCAGTAAGCAGTTAGCAGTTACGAATACAGTAGTTGCATTGCTCTCTCTCTCTCTTCTCCTGGCTTCCTGGCTTCCCATCATATCCCTATGGCGTTCGGCATAAATTGATCCTCTGCCCAGGTGACTTACCGGTATTACATAACCTAGCTATGCAACCTTTCCATGGATGTTCTCTCGGTACCACCTCCATCCAGACTTCCATTGAGGGACGAATAGAAAGCTAGGTTCCCGAAAGGGAAGGTATCACGACGCCTTGAAAATCATGATCACAACCGTACATACGCGATCTGCGCATGCACAAATACGGCCTACGGAGTCCGACAGAATGGAACCGTCACTGGCCATCAATGAATCTTCGCTGGCTACCGCGGCAAATTATTTTTCTCCCACTTCGCACCTGGGATTCATTTCTATTGGATCGAATGGGATGCAATGCTGGCCTCGGAACCGACTGGAAAACGCAGTATCCAATCACCACTAGGCAATGATGCATCGGTGGATGCAAAGAGCACAGACGAGAAAATGAGGTTGATCAATCTACGGCTAAGTGCCCCATTTCTCCGGACTGGACCCTGGAATAGGTTCAGGCTAAGATGGAGCCAACCCTATCTGGGAATTAGATCGCCACTTTAGTGGGAAGCCCGGTGGGGGCCCCTCCACGTCAATCTAATCTTGATTGACGGGGGATATCTGGATGAGAACAGGTAGCATGTTCTGACCAGATCGGATGATTGGCCAAGCGGTGGTCTCCTTGGCATTGGCTGACTGGCGGGGAAGCGTGTTCCAAAGAGAAAACAAGGTCAAAGAGAAAACAAAGTCAGTGGGAAATATAATTCACTCAATTGATTTCTAGTCTTTCCGTATAACTGAAGGCAAAGCCTCAAGTCGACACGATGCTTGCTGCTACAAAATCGGACTTTGTGTCTTCAATTCTGCGGGATTAATTAAATAAAACAGAGGTGTTCTCATTTCCTCGGGACCCAGGCAACAGCCTAGAGGGGTACATACCTAGCGCAGGAACATGCATCGTGCCTAGGCCCAGGCTCAACACGTCTGAGACTACATTCCACCGACATCATAGATCGCCGCAACTTCACTCTTTTGGGCCTATTCGCTAATAACCCCGCATCACGCCATAAACCCGAGGCTATGTCTAAGTTATATCCGCAATGCCATACAGCTCGCACCTGCTATAAGAAGGGCGTGGCACATGGTTGGAAACAGGCTATTCACTCAATTCTAACCTCTTAGGCCAGACATTACCAACATTATCCCACCACCCTAGATAATTCACCGAAGTCCCTTCTTCAGCAACCCAACTCAACCTTTCACAATGTTGGCCCCAACCCCAATCCAGGCTAAGGCCTCAGGCTCGTCTAGCGAACTATACCTCAGTCAGGCCCGCGCCAGCGGCAGCACCGAAGATTGCATGGCGCTATACGAGAAATGGGCAGCCTCATACGACGAGGAAGTCGGAGACAGTGCTCAAAACTACGTTGCTCCCGTGCTTGTCGCTCAAGCCGCCGTCAAATACGGACTCTCAAACGGCGCCACAAACAGCGTGATACTTGATGCCGGTTGCGGGACAGGACTGGTGGGAGTGGCTCTTTCAATGGCCAAGGCCAAAGCAATCGATGGCATCGATCTATCTCCCGCCATGCTTTCTGTCGCAAGGAAGACAGGCATCTACCGAGATCTCACAGTGGCAGACATGAACCGACCGATCAACAAGGCGGATGGAACATACGATCTCGTGTCTTGTGTGGGGACTTTCACTCTTGGCCATGTTGGGCCGGACCCTGCTTTGCGTGAACTTGTGCGTGTCGCTAAGAATAAGGGCGTTGTTGTTTCAACGATTCTGAAAGATATTTGGGTGCCTGGAGGGTTCCAAGCTGAGGTCGAGAAGTTGGTGGCGGAGGGATTGGTGAAGGTTGTCACTGAGGAACTCATAGACTATGTAAAGGGACACGGCGACGAGGCTGTGTTGCTCATTCTAGAGAAGATCGATCGCGACTGAACGAGACCGCCATACCAATCACCACGCAAAGCCCCAGCGACTTACAGCCCTTGCAACACAAATTGATCGGCTTTCAACTCCTTCCAATGCGACATACAAAGATGGGATTTCAACACCCAACCCCAATGCAACACTGCGATCGGCTCTAGATGCACCCGACTTTAGCTCTGTTGAAGCAGCTTTACATTCTTAGAATATATTTAAATCAATAAATCCTAACAAACTAAATAAGATTATATCGTGAGATTCGGGGGAATCCTCGTTGGAATACGACGTTTATACTCCGTACTCCCCTCTATGCATCCGCTTTCCTTTATACATCCGACTTTATCCGGCTTCATGAATCCCCTGTGCAGGCGGCTGGTATGTAGTTCATTTTGAGCCTTTGTCAATAATGTACAACATACAGGATGCGGGGTAATTGGCAAAGCCAAGACGGAGCAGAGACACCCGCGATATATGATTTGCACTCAACACGATAGGGATCATTGTATTTGTGAAATCCGGGGATCGGGATCCTTGGCGTGTCTCACATTTATCAAACTGACGTTATACATTTACGTGATACCTAAGGCCCAAGTTAACTTGAGAAGGATACTGCCAAAATGCCATGTTTATGGTCTATTCATTTCATATAAACATGAAAGACCGAAGAAAAACCAACCAACACCACGCTGTGCGATAAGGGCCATGGACAGACCACCCATCCTAAATTCAAATGGATGGTATCATATAATGTTTATAAGAGCCCTAAGCACGCGAAGGGAGAGGGGTTTAATGAGGTAGTTATCGATGCCAGCCATAGTAGCTTGGTACTGGAAATAAGTGGAGGAAACTTGTCTTTGATAGCCATACAACACCATCAATGATGACTCAATCTAGACAACACCTTGATCGTTGTGTGATATTCCTATATGACATTCGGTTATCAGCCGTTTGTACGAGAAAAGGTAACAATCGATTGACAGGTGAGTGTAGCATACCCGGAAAAGAATACATATGTATACGGGAGAGAACATTCTAAGTTGAACTTGGAAAAAAAGGAAATATCTGAGATTTGGTCGGATAACAGGATTTCAAAGAAGACCTTTTGTTAGAGATGTATAGTTCCTTAAGTTAGGCACCCAGTGCGTTTGTCTTGTTGAATTTCTATCAAATCATCTAGGCGGGAATGTTGATATCGATTATATATTTACTTCTAATACTAGTATTTCGGCAATAACGTCTAAGCCTTTGGGATATATTCCAAGGTTGCTCTGTACACACTCTGCACATACATAAAATACCACAATTTTACTGAGAATGCCATACATATCGTTGTTGAACATTATCCCATGCATGCATGTTTGCCATTTGTATGTTTGCTAGTTTCTTTGCTATTTGCTTGTTTCCTACAGAATGAGCTTTGTTCAGATCGTTTAAACAGGGTATATAAACCCCTACATTCCTAGTACAATTAATGATTCTTCTAATTTCTCCTCATAGGGTAGTAATCTATACAATAGGTTATGCTCAACAACCATACCTCGTATACTTCTGAAATTGTTCTGGACCAGGTCACATGATACGGGGAAATATGTCAATGTCACCGATAATTTCTTCCTTACATTTATTCATTTATCCACAGCCATCTTCATGATTGGTCTCCTGTGGGATGTCAATTAACTTTAAACATGCCTCTCCGCGCGCATACCAAATCCCGCAACGGATGTGATCAATGCAGAAACAGGCGGGTTAAATGTGACGAGCAGGGTCCACCATGCTCAAACTGTACGACCCGCCAGTTGAAATGCACATATTTGAAAGTCGCCGCCCGTCGCGCTACCCATCTTACCCCACCGCGTCTTCTAAATGGCCACGGCTCGCCCGTAGCAGCGATACCCGGTCCAGCCACTCCGATCTCACCAACCCAAACAAACTCATTCGGCATCGACAACCTAGAATTAATGCACAAGTTCTCAACAGACACATACAAAAGTCTCTGTCTCAGCGACTCAGAAATAGAAATCTGGCAAATAATCGTCCCAACACTCGCCTTCAAACATGATTACCTGATGGGTGGGATCTTAGCGCTAGCCTCAATGCACATCGCAACAACATGCGTGCCATCAGAAACAGCACTCCTATACCACGAGGCAGGACTACAGTACTACAACCGCAGCCTAACGCCATTCCGAAACGCAATCGATAGTATCACGCCGCATAACTGTAACGCGGTATTCGCGCATTCGATCGTCATGATCGCGATCAGCGTCGCGTCACCCCGACTAACCGCCACGAAAGACGAGTGCGCCAGTATCACAGAGAACATCGTGATACTGTTCGAGCTATTACAGGGCGTGAAGAAGATCCTGCAAGTCAGCAAGGCGTGGATTAAGCTGGAATTATTCACGCAGGGCCCATATTGGAACAGCACCCCCACTGAACTTGATCCTGATACGGAGGCTGCGCTGACGCATCTGGCGGCCTTGAATGATCATGTTATGATTGGGATTTACTTGGAGCAGCATCGCATTAATAAAAATGTTATTGCGCATTTGAGGCATTGTTATGCTAAATTTGCGCACTCGGCAGATCCCGCACCGGTTCTTGCTTGGCTTGCGGCTGTTGACAAGGATTTTGTCGATAGTCTCCGGTGTCGACAGCCGTTTTCGTTGCTGATTCTCATGTATTGGGGGGTGTTGTTGAGGGAACTTGATGGGCATCGGTGGTGGGCGCGAGATTCAGGTAGAGCGCTGGTTTCAGAGTTGTTTGAGGCTTTGAGGTCTGGGGATCCGAGGTGGGGGGCTGCTCTTGGTTGGGTGCAGCGGAAGATGAGGCTTTGAGCGTTGGAATGATGACTAGGTCATCCCAAAATCAACACAGTCGCCCACATGACGCATAGTCGGGTCGCTAATACATTGTACATATAGCATTCTTGAAGCGATTTACACAATTACACGATTGCTTTCTGCTGGTCAGGATTGGGAATTGCCCCAACAAACGTGGATGTCAACTTCGGATTTCCTCCCGAGGTCGTCAAGGGCCAACCTTGGAACCTCATCTAGATAACCAATATAGGGACCTCTATACTCCGTACCGACTACACAACTAGATCGTGCGGTTGATGAATCACAAGAGGATAGGGTTTCAGACTGCAAAGTAACTTGCTCAACCAACTAGCCTACAAATGACACGAAACGGTCGAAGACTCCACAGCCTCGTCACCCGTAGCTCTTAGCGCTGACCTTGAAATGACCTTTATGGTATACAGGGCAGTTTGGCAGCGACGTGTCACACGCATAGAAAGGTGTGTCCCTCTAGGCCAGCGGCAATCCTGCCCTGGCGAGATCAACAACGCAATTCAGAAAGTTGAAATATCCACCGAGGGCGATCTATAGTATCTCAGACCATAGGGTGGCCGCTAATCCTACACGATATGCGTGGTGAAACGAAAGGGGCTCTAGCGGGAAATAGTGGGCATCTTTGTGTAGCTGGGGCATGCGGCTGACCGCGGGGACTCTCGCAATTTGGACCAATAGCTTTATCTTCTCGGCGATGTACATATATGGTGGTGAAGACTTGGTCAGTTCTGTTAGAGGAAATAGTCTTGCATGGTGGGAGTAGTTATCGAATATAGGTGCAATATCAGGCTCTTCCCTGCAATCCCTTTCTCCGTCTGGGTGGAAGCCTCACTAAATATTACTAGATGGACGCCTGGTTGTCTCTTTTAGTATGTTTTGATCTGCTTTAGTGTGTTTAATATGTTTTAGATTCTCTTAGTATAGAATCTAACCCCCGCAGTTGGTCCAACCTGAGTTTCCACGGTTGGTAGTACCTATGTACTTGATTTCCTCTGCCACTTTTTGGTGTTCTCTTTCCGTATTAGTGCTCAGGCCTTGCCGCTTTTTGCTCACTGAGTAAATCCCAGCACGCCCCTGAGCGCCCTGATCTGCTCACTGAGCATCACCTGGTAATCACCTGAGCACCCGAATCCACTCACTGACCATGATTACAACCCCAACTACACAAGCCACATAGCCGAGTGTCTCTACCCTCGGGTGTAGCCCCTCAGTCGGAGAAAATTAATCGGCGCTTCCAATTTGACAGGGCTGTGCCGTCGATTATTATCCGCCGATACTGCTCTGGAGGGGTTGTCACCATCATGGGATCAATCAGAACATAGCAAGCCCAGTAATAGATCTCGACATCATCATGATCAGAAAGGATGCTTGTGTTAGGTCCTAAGACACCTACGAAAAGATTATTAGTTACCTGACTGACGATATTATGCACTAGTTGGTTGGGGATACTCTTGATTTTCTCTTTCTTTCTTTCTTTCTTTCTTTCTTTCTTTCTTTCTTTTTTTGGTAACATGGAAGTGCGTTTATTGCTGCACATGTGGGAAAGCACCACATGCAACGATGGGAACCACTATTGCTAAATTGCTAAATTACTCTTTTCTTAAAGAATAGTTTGTTTCAAGCCTACGTAGGCGTCATCACATCGTTCCAATTGATCTGCAATGTATGGCCACGAAACAGAAGGATTCCTCATGTAAATACAATTTTATTGATGTGTTCAAGGCCCTTGGGTATTTTATGCGGACTTCAGGAACAGAGATACTTCCAGCGTCTGGGCTTTGGTGTTTCCTCTGCTAGGAGTTACCGATAAGACAGAATGAGTACAAGTGCTCCGATAAGTGAACGAGAAACTGGCGCTTTTCCCGCCAGCAAATTTGACTAGCTCAAGTATTGCTCCCACAGCCGACAGAAAAAGCGAAGAAGTCCCGCGGTGTCCCCATCACGTATTAATGAAAGAAAAACCAAGGCGACTGCAATGCCATAGTGTATGTGTAGCGGTGGTGGCTGCCAATTTATTTCCCAATTGGAACATGGTTGATTTTATATTTCCACCGCACACGTCATCGGGGTGACAATGACTCGAGATACTTGTACGAGTTTCAACATCGTCAGCCTCCTCCTACCGGAGTCACCACCCCTCCCTTTCCTAATCCGGTGATCTCATACAATGTGAACCAAACCTACTCAGATTTCTTGCCATGTAACGGGTGTGCAAGCCTCTCCATTACCTTCTCCATAGTACCTTGCTCGCCCCTGCTGCCCTTAGCTTCAGTCGAATCACCTATAGTCTTATTAGAGTTGTCCAAAGCGAACAAATTATCTTAGTGAAAGCTTACCAGAGTGCGATACATCGGCGGCTTTGCCAGTCTCCATTTCTTTCTTGAATTCTTCTGCCGTGTGCGGCGGTTGACCTTGAGGACCCTTCAGTGTTTCTCTGCTGACGTGGTGGTCCTCCATGATCTCAGCAGTGCCGCGACGGCCTTGGTCCATGGTCTTCTCGGCATTCTCTTGGTTCTCGGCTCTCCCTGAATTCACTGCATAGTCCTTACTCTCGGAGTTCTCAGGCTGGGAGACACGCTGGGAAAGACTCTGGGACGTGCGGTCTTGCTGAGGTACTTGTGGCGCGGTGCTTCCTGAGGGGAGAACTTCGGGTTCTTTATGGGAGAAAGACATTGTGGTTGAGTTCGTAGGATATGAATCTGTGGCTAGTCCAGTACCCAGAGATATCTTGGCTATATATCCTTGGATCCTATACTATGACGTGGATGACGTCATTAGAGTATATATAGGGAAATGGCTGCCCCACTGGGCTGGGGCAACTCGAGTAAACCAATAAAATAAGGCTTTACTCCCGAGCAGGACGAAGGTTTGATCTAGATGATTGCAATCTCTTGCTAATGGTTAGTGAAGCAGAAGGATCTAGTAACTATTTATAGTATAGGATCCTCCATATCTTAAGTAGCTCGCTATATCTAGTACCTATAATCCTAAACTCTCTATTAAGCTTACCCTAGGATATATATATTTCTTTCTTAGAGCAACTGAACTTTCAATACCACGATATTCCAGTTTTTCGATTGCCTCGGAATTGATATACATTGTCAAAAAGCCTTATCAATAGCTATCAACCGACAACCAAACCAAATTAGAACGTTGTTGCTAAAATACACATAAGAAGATACTTCTTTGGGTATGGTCTAAGTGTAGACTGGGTGCTCAATAGATGACCCTGGGCGGCCTCTGAGTAATCAGTGAGCGATCAGTGAGCATTCATTGGACCTGACAGATTAATCACGTGATTAGTCTGAGCAGCTCAGTGAGTCTGAGCCCGGACTGAAATCTACTCAGTGAGCCTAACTCTGAGCGCCCTCATAAAAGCGGCGGCAGCTAAGATAGGAAAGTCAAGTACGCATAGCTACCTACGTATGTGCATGACCCCTCTCATGCTATTTAACTCGTAGTTTTCTTCCTTTATACTCCCCAATCTAAGCAATCTAAACAATCTAAGCAATTATACAATGGCTGAAAATCCAACCTGCACAGTCGAAGAATTCACCCGCACCACATTTGACTATGTCATCTGCGGCGGCGGAACGGCAGGACTCGTTCTTGCTGCGCGCCTCAGCGAAAACCCCGCTGTGATTGTCGGTGTTATTGAGGCCGGCAAGTATCGCATTGGAGATCCGCTGGTTGATACTCCTGCGGCGTTCCCACAGATGTTCGAGAATCCAGACTATGATTGGTGTGTATACACGACGCCGCAGGTAGGTTTACTCTATATTGCATATATCGACTCCCAATTCGCTAACTACTTTCCTGGGGTTATAGGAAGGCAATCGTGGCTTGTCTCACCATGTCCCACGCGGAAAGCTCCTCGGTGGATCCAGCGGCATCAATTATATGATGTATGTTCGAGGATCGACGAAGGATTACGACAACTGGGCGGAGCTCGTAGGGGACGATGGGTGGTCTGGGAAGCATATGCAGGGATATATGCGAAAGCATCAGGTACGATCTCATCTTTCCAATTTCCAATCTGGTTCATTTAGAGTCGAGAACTAACGGAATAAGCAGACCCTCGAGCCAATCGACCCAGCCATCACCGATCGCTCCACAATGCCATTCGTAGGCGAGTTCCACGGCACAAGCGGGCCCATCTGCACCAGTTTCAATGATTTCATCGTGCCAGTGGAGAACGACATCATTAGAGCCTGTGAGGATGTAACCGGTATCCCAAACAAGCCCGCCGACCCATGGAGCGGCGACCACATCGGCTTCTATCACACCCTCGGATCAGTTGTTCGAAGCGGCCCAAACAAGGGCAAGCGCAGCTACGCCGCACGAGCATACTATGAAGAGAACCGCGCCACTCGCCCAAACCTCAAAGTCCTCTGCGAAGCCCTCGTCAACCGCGTCGTACTAGACGGCAACAAAGCCACCGGTGTAAGCTTTACACACAACGGAGCCGAGTATCAAGTCTCCGCACGGCGCGAGGTAATCGTCAGCGGCGGCGCAATCCAAAGTCCCCAGATCCTCGAACTATCAGGAATTGGCGACCCAGAGATCCTCAAAGCAGCCGGCGTCGAATGCAAAGTCCCCAATAAAGGCGTCGGCGCAAACGTCCTAGACCACGCCATCACCTTATCTATAGTGGAAGTCCAGCCGGGCATCATGACACTAGACACCTTACACCAAGTGCCCGAGGCAATGGAAGCCGCCACCAAACAGTATACCGAAGCCGGCGGCGGGCCACTGAGCGCCGTCTGTAGCATGCAGGGTTTCTTCCCGGCGAAGAACATCCTCTCCGAGGCAGAGCTGACAGAGATCATCCAGAGTATTCGCGATATCAAACCGAACAGCACCTTCCACGCGAAACAGCTCGCACAGATTATCGCCAACCTCGAAAGCGACCACTCTGCTAATATGCAGTTTGTTACTGTCGGGGGTTCCATGAACCCGGATGCCGTAGGTCATCAGGGCAATATAATCCAACCACGCTTGCCTGGTGAACCGGCTGGTTTGACCTTGGCGGTTTGTATTCAGTACCCCGTGTCTAGAGGGACTATTCACATTGGGAGTGCAGGTGAGCTTACAACCAAACAGAAATCACTTCTATGTTCTGATTAATCAACTCGTGTGCTAATAAATCCAGACCCAACCAAACCCCCTATCATCAACCCCAACTACGGCGGCCACCCAGCTGACATCTCCCTCCTGGCGGCGTTCCTGCGCTGGAGTGATAAGGTCACAGAATCAGAACATGTGAAGTCTTCATTCTTACGCCGCGCGTACCCGGATCCCAGTCTCAACTTGCAGGACATGGATACGGCCCGAGAAGCAGTGCATGATCTCATTGCGGGGGAGTACCATATCAGCGGGTCTGTTGCTATGGGTGATGCGTTGGATAGCAGATTGAGGGTAAATGGCGTTGAGGGACTGCGTGTTGTGGATGCATCGATATTCCCGAATAATGTTTCTGGTAATATTGTTAGTAGTGTTTACGCTGTTGCAGAGAAGGCGTCGGATATGATTCGTGAGGATTGGGATTATAGGGCTGGGCTATGATGTATGCCTATTTTGAAATTCGTTTCATTGCAATGATAATATTTAATACTTAAATGAGATTGATTCTGTCCTCGACAAAAGAAAGCAGAGTGATCCCTACAATATCAAAGTAAAAGCACCTTAAGAAATGTACATAGTATAACCATGCGTACCATCATTCGCCCATGGATAGCTATTATCATCCAACTCCAGTCGCATAGCAGGATCACAAAGCGAATCCTGCATCTTAAGACTCTCATACCCAGGCTCCGTTCTCCTTCTCTCTCGAATTTTCTTCTCAACAAAATCACGTACATTATCCTTCCGAGGCACATTCTCAAAATCACTCCCAGACAAAAGAGCCACCGCCTCCTCGAAGTTCTCCCGCCGCGCCAAGTAAAGATCCCCCCGTTCAGCACGAACCCCCTTCTCCAGCAACAGCTTCAAAACTTCCAGTTGTCCAAACTGAACCGCAAACCCGATAGTACTATATCGCAAACACTCAAACCCCAACATAAATACATCATACGTCAAATTCGGGTTCGCCCCCTTCTCAATCAACCCAGTCACCATCTCAGTCTGTCCATGCATAACAGCCGCAAACAAAGCCCCCTGCCAACACATCCCAATCTCAAGTCCCATTCCAACAAACACCTCCAACAACCTCTGGTTATTCTGCTCAGCAATAATGCACAATCCCCCATCATCCACAAGCCGAATCCCAGCCCGGAGTAATATATCCACGATATCTGGCTTGTTCATGGTAATCGCGCGCTCGAGCGGGGTGGGCACCTCATTGGTCCCGGGACAAGCACCAGCCTCTAACAAGAAAGGTATAATACCAACCCAGCCGGCAGCAACAGCTGCACCGAGCGCAGACGGATTCGGCAGGAGGTTGTCTACAGGTTGGAGCGGGGCGTTGTAGCGAAGTAGTAACTTAACCGCGTCGGTACTATGTGCCGGGATGGCTCCTTCGTTCAGTGCTTCGCGCAGCTGGTCGAGGTCACATGCTTGGCCTGGTCTTTTCTCGGATAGTAGACAGGCCAGGGTTTCGATGTGTGGGCCGCTGGCTGCGAGGAAGAGCGCATTCCCCGCTATCCGAGGGAGGTTGGTGGGGGTTGTGTGGTTCGGAGTTGACGGGGTGCGGGCGCTTATTCTGGCGCCGGCATCGAGCATTTTTTGCGTCAGGATTGTGTGGCCGTTCTTGGCGGCCCAAAGGAGGGCGCTAGAGTCATGGTTTTGGATGTTGGTTTTGTATAGGTAGAGTTGGAGGACTTCGTATGTTCTCTTTGTTGTTTGGGTGAAGGCGCTGAGGTCTTTTTGGTTGGGGAGGGATTCGGCGATTGAGAGGAGGAGTTCGGTTGGTAATAAGGTTAATTGGGACATGATTTATCTGTATTCAGGTTGTGGAGGGCTCTGTGCTTATTTTGGAGGTGCGAATATGGTTGGAGATCAACGGTTGATGTCTTTAGCGCTTGGGGAGTGGTCTTAGCGCTGTTGGAGCTAGTGGCTTGCAGGATTGGGGGCGGCTTAGTACATTGGGAAGGAATCATTTGAGTACTTTTGTAAGAGAACTGAGGCAGAGGTTTATTTAAGCTCTGTCAGGTATTTAGCCTATACTACATAACTAGTAGAGCTATAAGCTGACTACTAAGCCCTATGAGGATGAACATCGATCATTCATCTTGAGGTTATTTATCTTCTTCGGACTTTTTTCGGGACTGCTGTTTGATTGTATCTTTAGATAACAAATGTCTCGCAGTCTCATTATTGTGTGGGAGGACAGACTTGTCTCCGTAGATAAATCTCTCCGAATTCATACTAGCAATTACCATATAAGGGACTTTGTTAACGTTCAGTATCAACACGAGCCTATGGGGTTATCAGGTTCTCAAATGATTCTTGTGAATGTATACAATCGAGTGGTCTTATATTTCTTTATTTTTTCGACTATCCTAGCTACTTTATTGTATATAGCCCGCAGTATAAACTACCCTAGACATCATCAGTATCAACCCACAAATCTTTTGTTTCCCACAGGCGGTAGTATCCGCAAGTCCACAGCCCAGATGCCCACCTGTATAAGGCTAAAAGTGGGCCTACGTACTCTAGACTGTGAACTTGCGGCCTAGTGGGAGTCGGTTCGGAATTCCCCCTCCGACCCGTTTTTCCCGTGGCAATATCGTGAAACGACATGTTCTGAGATGCAAGGATATGGGGAGAGATGGAATGTCGAGTTTTATGTACATTTTACTTGTCAAGTCTACGATATCGGAGGATATTCGGATGATATACAGGTGTGCTGATAGTAATTCGTCGGTAAATAGTCATAGGTCTAAAGCTTGAAATACCGTGCTCCATTTCTCGGCGCATTGACCTTTCCCGGTACTCCATATTGGAGAAAGAAGTGAGACATAAGAGAGAGGTGAAGTTGTTGAGTACGTCTCTAGTGTCTTTTTCTACCCAGGATCCTCGGGCATTTTTGGGAGTCCGACGTTGTATAAGTACAAATGACGAGTAGATTTTTCCGTCTAACTTCCACTTTCTGTTAATTGAGATGTAATCAAGCTTTATATTTGAATAATATATACTATATAACTAGTTAATATATACGTTGAACACTAAAATAAGTTTTAACTTATAAAGGACCCACGTTATTTAGCGTATACTTAGTCACCTGATTCTCTCATCAAATCGTAGGAGCACGTGCAACATAGCTGTATCCCGCTAGTCCAAGGGCGGAACAAGACATTTGGGGGGCGAGGTCCTGACTCTTGATCTCGCTTCTTTAATTTACTTTTCTTTTCGCCAATCCCTGTCAATTGAGTTTGGATTTTTCTTCTGATACTTCTTTTCTTCCGACCTCTTCAAACAACCTCACATCTTCACTTCCGACAATGTCCAGCCAACCTCTGCTCCAAACCGCTCCTGGTAAGTCCAGACAACACCTCCACTCTCAGCAGCTCAACAGCTCCATTCGAGAGACAATTCCACCTGGATCCCCCTCTCCTCACCGTGACGTTGGTTGGTGCGCGATCATTTTGCTTCTCTTGAGCTGCAGGTGTCACTTCGACCTTGATCGGCGTTTCCGCCTTCAGAGAAGCAGAACGATCGCAACCTCCATCCCATCCCAACCCACACCACACCACAACCACCCTCCAATCTCCACTCCGAACCCAGCTAACATCCACCAGGCAAGCGAATTGCCCTCCCAACCCGAGTCGAGCCTAAAGTCTTCTTCGCAAACGAGCGCACTTTCCTCTCATGGCTGAACTTCACCGTCATCCTGGGCGGCCTCGCCGTCGGTCTCCTCAACTTCGGCGATCGCATCGGTCGCATCTCCGCAGCCCTCTTCACCGTCATCGCCATGGGCGCAATGATCTACGCCCTGGTGACATTCCACTGGCGCGCGCAGAGTATCCGTCGACGCGGACAGAGCGGTATCGATGATCGATTCGGTCCTACCATCCTCGCCATTGCCCTCCTCGCTGCTGTCGTTGTTAACTTCATCCTACGGATTCGGGATGGGCAGATGAACTAGGATGGTTGTAGACTGGATACGATTGTTTTGTTTTGTTTTGTTTTTTTTTTTCAGGCGGTTTTGGATCGGGGGGTTCGATTTTCTCCCCTTCGCCCATCTGAATACTATACCATTGATTACGTTGGCCTGTTCTCGTTCGTTCATTGTTGATATCGACACTTGTGTCTGTTTTATGTATTCACTTGGCGTATGTTGGTCTGCTTTATGCTTATGAGGCCAGAGTGCCTTTCATGTTCACATGCTCGAGTCGAGCGTCTGTCTTTTCTTTTCATATTGCAATTGGCGTTTTTGGGGATTGAGTTTGTCCGACAAGCAGAAAAAGAATGAACGATTGAACTTGATTTGAATCTGATCGCGTCGTTTGTCTTTACACTCCCTTGATGTTACGGGCAATTATTCTTCACACCCTGCCCATCTAGATATCCCTGGATAAGCTCAACAAAGCTCCAATCATTCCACTTAAGCCTAACGGCATCGGGAACTTCCAAGGTTTGCTATCCATAACCTAATGTCCTAAGCAAACCGCCGCCAAATCCCTTCGGGGTGCAAGTACATGATTATTTCCATGCGCCAACACCAACAAAGCTTGGAAAATACGAACCTTCCCATCCGACCCCTTCGAACCCCTCGCATCCGCACAAATAGTCACCCCGGTATTCGCACACACTAGAAGCAATGATAATCCGCATCATGACGCAATATTCCTCCCCCGCCCGCAAAAGACTAACCACCGGACTGTGTGGATGTTAGTTCTTAGTCCAGCCATTCAACTGGTTTTATATTGCAGCTTGGTAAGATGCGTTGGTAAATATATTTGTGTTGGGCTGGTTGGTTGGTGTTGTGTACAACATATATATTTTAGTGTGTAGGGCGCCAAGGGTTGTTGGGGTTGGAGGGTAAGTGCTGGGAGGACAGTGTGCATTAAAGTCATTATCGGGTCTTGAAGAGAAGAGAGATAGTGGACGATAAGCAATTTGCTTTTGAGGTTAACCGAAGCAGGGGATATTGTTTTGATCGGAATGTTAAACTTAAGGAACTTGGGGATGGGGCAACGGTCCATTCAAGGGGGTTTGAAATGTCTATCTGCAAAGGATGGATATATATATGTAGACACTATACGGAGTATAGGGTATTATGCTTCTCCAAAGTGGAAACAAGGAGTAGATGAGGACCAATCATGCCCTAGCACTCATAAACGCGCCATGGACGTTCTTCTACAATTGTTTCGAAGAGTCAGTTCTCATCACAGAGCCACAAATCGTATATTAATCGAGACAGCCCGCTTCATCTTTTGCCATGAATCTCTCGGCTACGGTATGAGTTTAGCGATGTTTAGAAGACCAATTAGTTTCAAGAATAGCTAAGTCTAGTCATGGTAAATCAACACTTGAATAGTACCATAAGAAAGGCTATCATCTATCAGGTAAATAGCTCCAGACAGGGCCAACGCCCAAATTGAAGAGAAAACAGGCAGACCGTCAATGCTAACGTTTGGATCATTGTGTCTTCTTTGCCTTCGCCTTTTCCCCTCTTCGGCGCTTCAGGGCATCCGGAGTGTATTCGGTGTCAAGGAGGTAGTCCCACCAGCGGAAGCTGCTTGAGTAGTTCCCGATAAATTTCTCATGATGGAGGTCGTGATGATCAGCACCAGCCCAGAAAGGCAAGAAATGGTGAAGACTCCAAGGAAATTCGTAGCCACTGTGGGCATCGATAGCCTGGAACAAGCGCAATATAATCCAGATATACATAGTGAGAATATGTAGGTTACCGGTGAAAGCACACCAGAGGACCGGGGAGCTGACAGTGCCGAAGCCGAGAATCATCACTTCAACAGGAGAAGCATATTCGGCGGCTAAACCAAATGGTGCAGAATACTTATGGTGAACTTTATGAATAGCCTTATAGAGGGGACCCCAATGAAGAGCTCGGTGGCAAAAATAGTGCCAGGTATCCTCCATCACGAAAAATATTGCAATCTGATATATCATGGTCCAGGGAGAGGGAAAAGGAATCGATGTTGATAGACCGCAGAACTGGGCCATTGGGTGGAAAAGCCTAGAAGAGCCGTTATTAGGCAAACGTTAGGTAGAATACCACTCCGTCGAGGCATACCAGATTTGAGGAAGTTCGACGGTAAAATGGCTCAGAAGCACAAACTTGGCGCAGTCCCATTGCTCGCGTAGTGAAGGTACTTTGCTCTGAAGCATAATGTTAGTTTCGATGGCGGCTGGAATTGGGTTGATTTCGGCTAGTGCCAGGTGTTAGGTTAGGCTTGCCACTTACACTTTGAATCTTGTATCTCTTGAAGAAACCTAAGCTATCGATGAAGATCCACGGAAGAGAGCGGCCGAAGTAGAACACCTCGTGGATGAGGAAGGACATGATGCCGGTGGCCAGGACATCATTCTGCACCCACGCATACCATGCAACCCACAATCTCTCTGCCACGCTCAGGTGGGTATTGGATTTGGTGATATCCTGATATTGGCCCCAATAGGTGCCGGGGGGCAACACGGTAGAATTCCTAGGAGGAAAAGGGTCAATATGCGACAAATTACACAAAAGAGTATAAATCAACCACCCAGGGGGGGAGACACATACATTGTGGTTCCTAGCAGGTCTTGAATAAGAGAGAAGAAGCAGAGGCTGAGAGAAGAAGACTATTTCGTTGAAGAGGGGAGTACAAAAAGAAAGGATCTAAGCGAGAATACTATGTGCTAGTCATATAGTGTACAGTATATATATTCCCTACTATTAAATCCTAATCCTACTAAATTGAACATACCACATGTGGGAAGGTTCCAGCCAAACACAGGCGGGCAAATACGCATTATCCGGTTGGGGC